GGGAAAGTGTTGTCCACTATGAGTACTCCCTTCCAGGCCAGACATTTAATAAGGAGCACCACCTCAATGTTCTTCATCAGCTGGAGGATGCAATACAATGAAAATGGCCACAGCTTTGGGCAGCTGGTCATTGAAGCGTCATCACAACAATGCGCCCACTCACACATTGTATCTGTACAGAGTTTCTTGGTGAAACATCAAATCACCCGGGTGACTCAGGCCCCCTACAACCCAGATTTGGCACCCTGTAGCTTCTGGCTTTTCCCAAAACTAAAATCACCTTTGAAATGGAAAAGTTCTCAGACTGTTGATGAGATTCAGGAAAGTATGATGGGGCAGTTGATGGCGATTCCATCAAAGGATTTTGCAGTGTTTTGAACAGAGAGACACTGGAAGAACTGTGTGAGGACCCACGGTGCCTACTTTGAAGGGGACTGAGGCATCATTGTCCTTTGTACAGTGTCGCTTGTATCATATCTTCTTCAATAAATGTCTATTTTTTCCATAGCGCATGGCTGGATACTTTCTGGACAGGCCTCATCTATATACCCATGTATGAGAGGAGGAAAGTGAGACATGGATGGGGAAAGAGAATGTCTACAGGTAGCAGCTACTAAGTGGAAGAGCTGGATTCTATCACAGGTCTATTTCGCCCCAGAGACAAGGCTGTTTCTTCCATATCCTGCTGTTCATCCACAGAATTGTTAAGACTTCTACAGGACTGAGTTCCTTTAAAAATTCTGGAGCAAAGTTGTACAGGGTCAACAGATAAAGAAGAGTCATGAGTTATCTTTTACAAGCTTTATCAGTCTCCAAGAGAAGGGAGAGGCAGAGCAGGACAAGATGTTAGGTGCTCTAGAAAGTGGTCTCCAAAACAGCTTATTTGGGGTTTGATTTGAGAAGAATCTCCTGAAGAACTGGAGGCTTTAAGGTATACAGAGAGAGGAAAAAGAAAAAAAAAAAACTTTTCTATCCCTGGGGTAGGATATGGAAAAAAGATGCTGACCTGGGGCAAGATGGAGTTCCTTAAGATTTGAGTGCAGTAGCCATAAAGACTATTTCTCACTTTCACCTGGATATGTTTGGACATGCCAGGTATGGAGATTATAGTGCATATACAGGCTTGCTTGTGTGTAGGTGAGTTACTGAAAAGAACTCCCTAGTCTTCTGGTATCTCTCTCTGTGGTACTCACCCATTTTCATTAGACAGGAGACTTAATAATGTCATAAGTTTCTTAAAGACTCTCTTTGACCTCTCTGTGCCTCAGTTTCCTCATTTGTACTATGGGCTTAACATCACCCAGCAGTTTCTCTAAACCCTTAATGCTCAATAGAACTCCTACAATGATTGAAATGTTCTTTACCTGCACTGTCTGATATTATAGACACTAGCTACATCCCTATTAAGTACTTAAATGTAGGTAGTATAGTTGAGGATGGAATTTTTTAATTGTATTTAATTTTAATTCATTGTAATTTTAATAACCATTTGTGAATGGTGGCTAACACATATTGGACAGCACAGGTGTAGACGAATGAATTCAAAGTTTTCTACCTCTTCTTAAGCCTTCTCTCTTGTGGGAAAATTTTTATGGTAAATTTCTTTGCTCCAGATTAATTGTGTTTTTAGTAGCTCATAGAAAAAGAGACACCTAAAGAGTTTCACTGAAACAATTCACAGCAGTTCATTTGCTTCTAAAAATTTATTTTGATAAAGATAGAAAGCAAAGTCTGGTCCACAGATGTATTCTTCTGCATTTAGCATAAATATGTGCTGAGACAGGATACAGGTCAAGGCAACATGCATGGATATCCACTTTGTCCTGGATATGTGACCCCAACAATCTGTGTACTGAGCCCATCCAAAAGCTGTGTCTCTTCCTGCTGCCTTCCTTTGCAAACATTGACTCACTGGATCCTTTAATCTTTAATTTCACTATGAAGGATAGGTATGTAGGTAGATAGATGGGTAGAGAGAAAAAGAGATGGGAGGGGAAGTTGGGGGCGAGGGGAGGGAAGGGAAGGGAAAGGAAGGGAACAGAAGGGAAAGAAAGGGAAGAACCTCCCAGGGTATGTTTGCCTGGGAATTTTGAGGGAGAGAAGTCTCTACTTCACTGTAGGACTTTTATCCCTGCTAAAAAATAAATAAATAAAATTTTAAAAACCCACAGATCTGCATACGACAAAGAAGTTTCAAGAGTTAGAAAAAAAAAATTCCAGGAAAAATATTAAGTGAAGTCCATTTTTTTACTACAAAGCTTCCCTTTATTGAGTTATTGCTGCTGTCAAAGACTATACCATTTCTATTACATGTGTTATCTCCTGTACTTTTCACAGCAGTCCTGTGAGGTACAAATAATGTCTCACTCAAGGAAGAGGAAGTGCTTGAACAGTGACTCAAACCCAAGAGTCTGTTTACAAAACCTGTGCTCTTCAACACTATTCTATCTCTTCACTACGATCCCAGCACCTTGGAGCTTGCTATACTCTCAAGGAAGCCCTTTCAACTGGTTAATTCCAACTAGAAAAATATTTCTCCTGTGGGGCTGAAATTTGTCTCATAACCAACTCTCTTCTGCATCCTCAACATATGCATGTGTCATTGCTTGTTCTGTCCTTTGGGGCAACAGGGACAAGCCAGCTCCTGCTCCCCCAGGATTTAGACATGGTAACCCTGTCCCTCTCAATCTTGGCTTTTTCAGCTACAGGATGAACACACACAGGCTCATTCTCCTTCCTCCTACAAGATATTTTCTAGACTTCCCATTGCCTGATCACTTAATAGAAAGATAAGAGTCTTGTGCTTTAAAGAGTCTCTGTAGATTAAGTTGTTCATTCTCAAATTTTAAAAACCCTATTGTCAGAACATGATCCTTTATGTCTAACCTCAGTATCACAAACTGCAGCCTACAGTAATTTTCCCTAGGTCCATCCTCAAAGGGGACACTAACCAGCCAGTTCTCTGCATGTGACATTTTTAAAGGTTACTATTTGCTCCCTATCATTTGCCTCTCTGGTGTAAATATGTCCAGTTGTAGTACATTTGTCTTCATAAGATTTACCCCAACCCTTTAGTGATTTCAGCAGCTCCTCTTTGTTCTAGATTCAACTTGCTGCAGGGTTTAGGACCAGGTTCAATGAGGAAGTCAGGCTTAAGCAAAAGGAGGCTATGGGCCTGGACTCAGACTAGGTTTTGTCCCTAGACGTGCAACAACATTGCAGGTACATTTTAATGTGTGTCTACTATGGTCCTGACATGCTGAGCTAATGTATTAATTCCCTCATTAAGAATTTTGACCACCATTTCACAAAAGAGGTCATGGCTTAGAGAGGATAAATAGCTTGTCCCAAGCAATAGAACTAGTAAGTGGCTTTTGAACCCAGTTGTGTCTAATTCCAAAACTGAGGCATTTTCTACCACATTGAAGATATTACAGGTCTTTCCCTAAGTACAAAAACATAGCTCAGCCCACCATGAGCCAATGAGAAACACATAGCCCTGAAGAAACCCATTTCCTTCCTCCAAACAATGTAGCCTTTGGCTGTGCCAACATACATCTCTTACATGCACAGTGAAAAATCCTCTTTCAGCCCATACTCTGATCATTATTACCCTAGACTCATTGCCTCATAGCCCCAACCAGCAACTCTAATGGCTTTTTAGATGGAAATTTAAGTCATTTAGCAACACACAAAAGCGTTGGCTAAAAGTCCAAAAACATTTCAAACTGGCCCATGGCCCTTTCTCATTAAAAAAAAAAAAAAAAAAAAAAAGGCTAAGAATTGATGGGAAGAGGGTGGGAAGAAAGGAAGGACTTTGTGGAAGGCACAGAAAGTTGCAATAGAGTAGGCAACCAATAAATATTTGCCCAGTAAACAAATAAGATGGGCTATGTTGGTTTGAGAGAAGAGAAGTCGCCAAGTTCTCCTCTTCATAATAATTTTTATTCAGTGGCTTGCCTACATCACAGATCCACCAATTCTTATTTAGGAAACTAATTTGAATTAAAAAGCATACTGAAAAGAAGATTTTTATATCTCTTTTGTCTTTATTTTATTTTGTTATTGTTTTTGTTTTAAGCAAGGAGTAAGAGCCCTAAGTAGATATTATATGATAGTTGGTGAAATATCAAATATGAATATAATTAGGATGTGGTATGGATAGGAAGTTCTTGATTCTACACACAGCTGGTACTTTCTAAGTCCCCAGTTCCCTGCTCAGTCCTGCAGAAATGCTTTTGGTTCAACTTCCCCTGCCACCACCATCCCTGTCCAGGTTTTGCAATGACTTTCTATTATCCTGGAAGAAATGATGACTTGGGATCATTTTGATGTATTTTATCATTGGGATAACATCTTCCTAGAAAAACAAAAGTTGTAAAACCTTTCATAGGATAAGCCATCCAAATACCACATCTAACTGACATAAATAACTAACTTGGAATGTGCAAGTCTAAGAATAGCATGGGCAAAGGAGAATGTCAACTTGTGAAAAAACAAATAGCCTCAATTATTCTCTTGAACTACACCCAGCTCTATTTCCTAGTAAAAGAGAACTATAAATGACATTATACCATGTATAGATCATTCTCATATGCATCTGAGGCATATTTTAATCACTATTATAACCATGTAAAATTTAACCTTGTCTTCCCATCTTTACTCAATAATTTCTCAACCCCCTTTGAAAATTCCCCTGTCCTCTGTTGCCCAATTACCCACACAGGTGAAGAGCTATCACACAGATGAATAAGACAACTAAGAAGAGAAAGAATTGTCTCATGTTAGCATGTCTCCTCCAACCTCTCTCTGTATTTAATCCTCTTTACTCTTTTAGAGACTCTTGTATATCTGCACTACAGTAACTGTCGAATGAATTCCAAGAGAGCTTCAAATAGAGGAGACATGAAGTAAAAATTCACTTACAATTGCAAATAGTCAATAGAGTCAATTAGCAGAAAATACTAATAAGCTTGTTGTTTTTCTTTATTTACTTGTAGAAGAGAGTTCTTTCAAGAAGATCAGGAACAACTGATTTAGATCCAACTCTGTGCTTCCAAGTCCCCATCTCTGCCTGAGAGTGAGACACCGTAGGATCCTAGAACCTGAGAAACATCCAGCCAAACCCACCTCCACCATGGGGGCCGTGACTCGGTTCTTGGCAGGGATCTGTTTAGCTTTGCTCACCATCACAGCTGAAGGAGGAGTCCTCAAGAAAGTCATTCGGCATAAGCGACAGAGTGGGGTGAACATCACTCTGCCGGAGGAAAACCAGCCAGTGGTGTTTAATCACATCTACAACATCAAGCTGCCTGTAGGTGCCCAGTGCTCTGTGGATCTAGAATCAGCCAGTGGGGAGAAAGAGCTGGCCCCACCATCAGAGCCCAGGGAAAGCTTCCAGGAACACACGCTGGACAGGGAAAACCAGATCGTCTTCACACACCGCATCAACATCCCCCGCCGGGCCTGTGGGTGTGCTGCTGCTCCTGATGTCAAGGAGCTTCTGAACAGACTGGAGGAGCTGGAGAACCTGGTGTCTTCCCTGCGGGAACAGTGCACCATGGGAATAGGTTGCTGTCCCCAGCCTGCTGAAGGTATGAGGTGGGGACGGGCCCAGCTCCTCAATGCACAAATGGGAGAAATGATGAGCATGGCATGATCTATCCATTGTCTCCAAAGTGGGTTCCTGGGCAAACTAGCCTCCCAAGGTGTTCATTACACAGAGATTTACTGGTCAAATAAACAGAGAATGTAACCATCTCTATTCTGCTCTTGGTGACAAATGTTTCTCAGAGGAATTTGCAGGCCATGGAAGTCTTCCTTCAAAAACACCTACTTTAATTACTAGTTTCTAAAACTTATTTGACCGTGAAATATACACATTCTCTCCTTCAAAACCTATACACACATTATGAAACTCCTGACCCAAAGGTCATACTCTGAAAGATACTGATATAGCCCCATAACCCCATTGTACAAATAGGAAACTATGACCCAGAAGTAGGATGGGATTCCTCAAGCCTCTGTGATAAGTGGCCAACTTAAGACTTAAACCACAGGATTTCACACCCTGGTGCTATTACAAACACACAGTGCTTCCTATGGCAGCACTCATTGAGTGGCAACACTGAGGATGATCACAACTATGGTTGACTCCTTTTCTGTACATGGCACTGTAATTCATCATCTAATCTAATCCTCCCAACGACCTTTTAAGATAAGGTTGGGTAGTCCCATTATACAGATGTAAGAACTGAGACTCAGAGAAGTTACCCCGCTGACACAAAGGGTAGCAAGAGATTGGAGCTTTGAACATGTCTGTGTGTCTCCAGAACTCACAGTCTTCCAGTAGTACATGCCTGCATCCTTTTTCAAAAAATGTTGCCACTTTGAAATTATGTCTTCATCTCCAATCCCTAAAGTTGATAAAACTGCAGGAGTCTCAACAGCTTTAAATCAGAGATGAAAATCTCTATTTATGCCACTCAGAAAAAAATTACTATAAATTACTGGAACAAATTATTTTAAGAGTAGACCTAATCACCGTAAGTGGAGAGTACTAAAGACATGCTCTAGGATTCTAAGGAAAAAAAAAAAAAAATTTCCCTTCATGCATAAATTAGGTTGTCTTCCAACTCTCAACTCCTTGGCAAAATAGATGGGAATTTATACAATAGAAGTAATTCTAAAAAGAGGGTTGAAATCATTGTCTAGAGAAGTGCTATCCAATAGAAATATAACATAAGCCATATATGTAACCTTAGATTTTCCGGTAGCCAAATTAAAGAAATAAAAAGAAACAGGTAAGGATAATTTGAATCATCTATTTTATTTCACCCAATAGAACTAACATATCTATGTTTCAGCCTGTAATAAATACAAAAGTGATTAATGGATATGTTATATTATTTTTATTTTATACTGAGCCCTTGGAATCAGTATCTATGTTATACTTCCAGCACATCTCAATTCAGATCAGCCACAGTTCAATCGCTTAATAGCCACATGTATCCAGTGGCCACCATACTACACAACACAGGCATAGATTCTCACTTTTCAAATCAACTTTTTTTAAAAAATTGCCTTCCTGCCTGCTGTCGGGAAGAGGATAAAATATATTAATTCAACTGTATTTAGATGCAGAGAAAATAGAGTGAGTTTTATTGCTTCTCCTTGGGTTCCACAGAGATCATGCCAGTTACTACTATAAAGTGGAGCTGAGACATTATATAGACTTTAAAGAGCTGAAGTCATGTCAGCGCCAACCTGTATTCCTCAGACTCACCACTGCAGCCTCTGGGAAAGAGAGGGGAAAAAAATGATAGAGGCTCATGAGTTTTGTGGGGGCAGAGCCAAATTGCAAGTTGTGCTGACAGAATTAGAAAGCCACTACTTAGCTGCCTCATTTCAGTTATGGAAAGTTGGAAAGTTTTGGTCACGTAAACCCATATGCCAATGGGGGTCAACCCAAAAAGCTCTTAAGAGAGACTTAAACCCAAAAAGAGAACATCATCATGAGCATAACAGTCAGCTCTTAATGTCCCCCTGTAACCTTGATAAACCCCAGGGAAGTGGTCTATTGGTCCCACTTGACCAATGAAGAAACTAAGCTCCAGAAAGAGTCTAAAGCCCTTCACAAATGCAGCACAGCTATTGAGTCAAAGAATCAGAACTGGGTTCAGTTCAACAATTTTTTCTTGGACATCTCCTAAATGCCTGACCTTAGTTAGACACCAAAGTAGCAACATAGCCCTACATGACACATTCTACAAGGCAGTGATCCATAACTGCTGGAGTTGTGGGACTACATGAAAATTTGGTGAAAACTATGGATTCTCTCCCCAGGGGTGGAAACACACAAACACACACATACTTACAAACCTAAGCCCATTGCCTTTGTATATACGTCTACAAAATTCAGAAAATTCAAGTGAAGAATTCCTACCATCTGACTTCCTACACTAAGCAACTAGCTTTCAAGCCAGAGGGGGCCCACGGGTGCAACCATGCTCTTGCAGAATTTGATTCTGGGTTTTGCGGGTAGAAACCAAGAAGTTGGGCTGAGCACCTCTGTTCTCTTCGTTGCAGGCCGCCTGGACACCAGGCCCTTCTGCAGCGGCCATGGGAACTTCAGCACGGAAGGATGTGGCTGTGTTTGTGAACCTGGCTGGAAAGGCCCCAACTGCTCTGAGCCCGAATGTCCAGGCAACTGCCACCTGCAAGGCCAGTGTCTCGAAGGGCAGTGCATCTGCGATGAGGGCTTCACTGGGGAGGACTGCAGCCAGCTGGCCTGCCCCAGCGACTGTAATGACCAGGGCAAGTGCATGAATGGGATCTGCATCTGTTTCGAAGGCTATACCGGGGCTGACTGCAGCCAGGAGGTCTGCCCAGTGCCCTGCAGCAAGGAGCACGGCAGATGTGTGGACGGCCAGTGTGTGTGCCAGGACGGCTTTGCTGGCGACGACTGCAATGAGCCCTTGTGCCTCAACAACTGCTACAACCGTGGGCGCTGCGTGGAGAACGAGTGTGTATGTGATGAGGGCTTCACCGGTGAAGACTGCAGTGAGCTCATCTGCCCCAACGACTGTTTTGACCGGGGCCGCTGCATCAACGGCACCTGCTATTGTGAAGAAGGCTTCACAGGAGAGGACTGTGGCCAGCTCACCTGCCCGAACGCCTGCCACGGCCAGGGCCGGTGCGAGGCAGGGCAGTGCGTGTGCCATGAGGGCTTCGCTGGCGCGGACTGCAGCGAGAAAAGGTGTCCCGCCGACTGTCACAACCACGGCCGCTGCCTCGACGGGCAGTGTGAGTGTGATGATGGCTTCACGGGAGCCGACTGCAGCGAGCTCAAATGTCCCAACGGCTGTAGCGGCCACGGCCACTGCGTCAACGGGCAGTGCGTGTGTGACGCGGGCTACACTGGGGAGGACTGTAGCCAGCTGCGGTGCCCCAGTGACTGTAACAGCCGGGGCCGCTGCATCAAGGGGAAGTGCGTTTGCGAACAAGGCTTCCAGGGCTACGACTGCAGTGAAATGAGCTGTCCCAACGACTGTCACCAGCACGGCCGCTGCGTGAACGGCATGTGTGTCTGTGATGACGGCTATATGGGCGAAGACTGCCGGGATCTGCGGTGCCCCAAGGACTGCAGCCACCGGGGCCGCTGTGTGGACGGGCGGTGTGTCTGTGAGGACGGCTTTGCCGGCCGAGACTGTGCAGAACTCTCCTGTCCCAGTGACTGCCATGGCCAGGGCCGCTGCATGAATGGGCAGTGTGTGTGCCACGAAGGCTTCATGGGCAAAGACTGCAAGGAGCGAAGGTGTCCCAGTGACTGTAATGGCCGAGGCCAATGTGTGGACGGCCAGTGCGTCTGTCATGAGGGCTTCACGGGCCTGGACTGTGGTCAGCGCTCCTGCCCCAATGACTGCAGTAACTTGGGACAGTGCGTGGCAGGCCACTGCATCTGCAATGAGGGGTACACTGGAGAAGACTGCTCAGAGGGTGAGTACCAGGGCTCAAACTAGCAAGATAAAGGCCACAACATCTGGTATGTGTTGGAGAACTAAGTGTTATATTAAAACACACACACACAAACTCTTTGAAGGGGCCCTGGTCATTCACCTCTTACAGGGCTACCTATTTGAAGTTAAAGAGGCTCAGAGAGGTCATGGAACTGTCCCAAGGACACACAGTGAATATGTCACAGAGCTGATACTTGAGTCTGCCTAACTCAACGGCACTAAGTTTAACACCCAGGAGCCAGTATGAAGTAGATGAAATGATAACCTCCCTTTTGCTAAGAATCAACCTCCTTTCCTACTTCCCACTGACATCGAACCAGTAGTAAACCAGATCCCTCTGTTCGGATGGAAGTAAAAATTCAGCTAAATTGAATGGGCACGAGATTATACAAAACAAACTGCTTTACATGCACACTCAGCTAAAGACTGAGTGCTGATCACTTATGAGGCAGGCCTGTCTCTTAATTCATCTTTTTTATGCTGTCTTTGGTCCGAAGAATTGTGAGCTCCTTAAAGGAGCACTACCCCTGCAGTTAGCATAAGGCATGGTCTACAGTAATTGCTCAGTAAACACTGGTTGAATTAAAAGACAATGAAGACTGACAGTGTTCATGCTTAATGAGGGCCTTCTTCATACTTCTCTCATCCACCCATATTATAATTGTCATAATGGAGAATTGCTACCTTGATTAAAACTATTGATAAATAAGAATAAATACATGGCTGTGTGTTTAATGTGGCCAAGGCAGAGAGGCTGTGGGGGAAGAACCCCAGGCTGGCAGGGAGATGTGAGTCCCAAATTTGATGAGATGTGCTAAGCCGGGCATGTGCCTCCACCTCACTCACATCTAGAAACTGAAGAAGTTGGGCCAGGTGAGCCCCAAATGCCTTCCCAATGCTGCGCATTCCCAGTGCTGAGGAGGTGGGACTTGAAGTGCAGAGCAGGGAGCTAAGCTCAGGCTGCTCCTTCCCATGCAGATGGCCTGAATCTGCAGTAGGGTCCAGGGAATGGAGAAGTCGGAGGAACCAGGTCACAAAGGGCCCTCAAGGTCCCACGGAAGACCTGGAACTTCAGCCTGATGGCAATGGATGGCCGCCGAAGCGTTTAAAGATGGGTCACAGCAAGGGTTCCTTTATGAGTTCTACATTTTAAAAGATGGAAGCTGGATTTCAGTCTTCTGTGACTGCCAGTGGAAGAGAGAATTTATAGGACACATTACTGACCTCAGCTGTCCTTTCTCATTCCCATCAGTGTCGCCTCCCAAAGACCTCATCGTGACAGAAGTGACAGAAGAGACTGTAAACCTGGCCTGGGAGAATGAGATGCGGGTCACAGAGTACCTTGTTGTGTACACACCAACCCATGAGGGTGGCCTGGAAATGCAGTTCCGGGTCCCTGGGGACCAGACGTCCGCCACGATCCGGGAGCTGGAGCCTGGCGTGGAGTACTTTATCCGAGTGTTCGCCATCTTGGAGAACAAGAAGAGCATTCCCGTCAGCGCAAGGGTGGCCACTTGTGAGTGAGCAAACCACCTTCGGAAGCCTCAGCTGCCCACCCTTCACCTACTGCATAACAGTTCCCATGAGTTAGCACCTTGCCTTTGCCCCCAAAGCTCTGTAGCTGTCCTTTCATAGTTACACCAATTAAGACCCTGGAAGCCCACTGAATATTTTCTTAAAGAAACTCCTCATATACTAACCCATTTAACTCACAATAACCCTAAAAGATAGGAGCTATTGTTAATCCATTTTACAGATGAGGAAACTGAGACCCTGTGGTTGAGCATCTCATCCCAAATCACACAGTTAATAAGTGGCAGAGATGGGATTTGCACCCGGGCAGTCTGGTCACAGATTTATGCTCTTAACTGCTAGATTCTACTACTACATTCCTATGAAGCTCACTGTCTCTCTCTATATTTTTAACAGAGAAAATACTAGGATTCAAGTAATTCCTTTAAGAATCCAACACCAATATAATTTGCTTCATACCTGAAAAGCAAGTTGGACTAGAAAGTGGTCTTTTTTTGCTTAATTGTAATAACATTGGCTGCCACGTTAAACTCATGCTACATGCCAGGAACCAGGCCCAGTAGTCTACATGCAATATATCAGCCCCCAAAATATTTCCAAGGGAGAGGCATGCTTATCTCCTTCTCCCAAGTGAAGGAACTGAAGCTTGGGGCATTTTGTGCAACTGGCCCAACTACACAAAATTTGTAATTGAAGAACTTAAATTCTAGCCTAAGTCTGTCTGATTCCAAAGCCTGTGCGTGTTTTAGGTTTAACCATATGAAATTGCCAAATACTAATCATGTGGTTTGCCCTAATACTCTTTTTCATACTGCCTCGCAGTAGACAGCATCCCAGAAAAACCCTTAAATAGACTTCCGCTTAGATGATCAGCCCCTGACTGTGGCAGACACCCACGCTTGGGGTCAGGGGAACAGGGTTGTGTCACCTCCACCACACATGGCACCACCCTTACCTCCTCTCTGTGTTCTCCTTGACAGACCTGCCTGCACCCGAAGGCCTCAAATTCAAATCCATCAAGGAGACATCTGTGGAAGTGGAATGGGATCCCCTGGACATTGCTTTTGAAACATGGGAGATCATCTTCCGGAATATGGTAGGGGGCACAAAGCAGCAGGCATGCAAGAGTCTAAAAGATGGTCAAAGGCCTCTGCAGACTTTTGTATCAACTCTAGTTCCTTGGCTTTTGGTGAGGGACAAGACTCTAATTGTCCCTTGTGTGTTCGCATAGACATTTTAAGTGATTTTAAAAAGTAAGTAAGCATAGCACTTAGGGCTGAGAGCTTAGACAAACAGACATTATCTTTAGGTTTCAGTTATTTCTCATAGTCTTGAATAATCTCTACTCAGAGACAAAGAAGAGAAGAAATGGTCTCTGTCTCAAAACGCCTCTGGGCCAAAAGTACGTGAGAGGCAGGGAAGTGGGTTCCTGAATTCGAGCCCAGGCTCTGCCACTAACTAGCTATGTGACTACAGGACAATCACCCAACTTCTGTGATGCTGGCTTCTTATTCTAGCAAAAGAGGGATTAAGCCTGTGACTCCAGAATTGCGTTGGCTCTCACATTCTGTCACTTGAGTGTCAAAGGGGTGAGTAGGAAAGTTTATGAGAGAAACACACTTAAGAAATGTCTTTATCATTTCTGTATCCTCAGCACCTACCAAATCGATCAGATGCCTAATAAGTGCTTAGTGAATAGAGGAAAGAATAAAAGGGGAATGAATGGATGTGCAATGAATGAATTGCATTAATGAAGAGGCTGGCACCTTTTATAGGTCTTACCAAAGGTTCTCTATCTTTCAGAATAAAGAAGATGAGGAAGAGATCACCAAAAGCTTGAGGAGGCCCGAGACCACGTACCGGCAAACTGGCCTGGCTCCAGGACAAGAATATGAGATATCTCTGCACATCGTGAAAAACAATACTCGGGGCCCAGGACTGAAGAGAGTGACAACCACCCGTGAGTATCACCTTTAATATCACTGACACCATGGTAAAGCTGATTGTAACTCATAGCCTTTCTGGTTAATAATATGCCCTCTTATATAGCCCTTGTGTCAATTAGATTTTGCTACGGAAAAACCAAGCCTGAATCTTAGCAGCTTACGACAACAATTCTACACATTGATGATTTGGGGTTGGGCTCAACAGGACATTTTTTTTGTGTTCTTAGCTGGGCTCACTTATGCATCTGTGTGGGTTGGAGGCCGGTTGATCCAGGATGGCCTCATCCTGATGCTTTTCTGCTCCTCTGGTCTCTCAGCCTCCAGGATGCTACCCTGGCCCTGCCCTGATTGTAGCTAACCAGGTTGAAAACTGGCACTAATATTGCTTCTGCCAGCCCAGATCTCAAAGCCAGTCCAAGTTTAAGGGGGAGAGAAACAGATCTCTTGAGGAGTGAAGCTTCAATATGACATTTCAAAGTGGCCAGGATGCAGGAAGTTGAGATCATTACAAACCATCTACCACATCATCTAATTTAATACTAACACCAGGCCTGTGAAAGAGGTAGGGCAAATATTAATGTTATTATTTTTTCAAGAGCAGAAACTGAGGCTTAGAGAAACTAAATTCATTTAACCAATACCGCATGGTTGATACGGTCAGGACCACAATTTTAAGCCAAGGTCTCATTTTATCACTTGAACCCCATTACCACTAGCATTGACTAAGCTCTGGTTTATGTAGAATGTTGACTCCATGTCTTCAACAGGAATCTAAATAAAATGTCAGTCCGTACTAATGATGTCAGAACCTCTTGGGAGTAGAACAGGATTCAGCACTGGAGATCATTTGATGGGGGGGTGTGGGGGCGGAATCCAAATTTGGAGTTGTTTCACCAGAAAGCAAAGTTTTAATAAATAAACAAACAAAATTATTTTTCATTACCATTTGATAAAAACTGTTTATCTTTTTCAAAATCATGTATGTGCCATCTGCTTAAGGAATTGACTTTTCTTGGCTAGAGGTTGTTGGAAAGCTATGTCTGTTAACTAATGACAAGAAAGAACATCTTGCATTTAAATACTTGCATACTTTGTCTAACTCAGAGCCAATTCACAGTATTGTCTCCCTTATAAGCAAGCATTTCCATCATCCTGACAACATCTCTCTGTGGTAGGTAGAAGGCAGGTACCAACAGGAAAAAATCATTAGATCATCAGAAAGGCATAAAAAAAATCATGTAAATGCTCAGAAGACACACTGAGAATATAAAAGACCTTTCTTTCCTCAGGTCTTTTCTTGTAATCTAAATGTGGAGATTGGTTGCTTTATTTTCTTCTTACTGAAGGACAAACATCCTAGCATTTGATGTTCCATAATCACATAAATATCAACATTGAGAGACAGATATTTACTTGTTCATTTTGCTGCTATCTGAATGATTTCTTTCATTTAAAGAACCTTAAAATCTTGGTGCCAGAACATTTTGACTCTTTCCCTCTGATCTGTATAGAGGTTGTATTACAACCATTTTGGCACTTGAATGTTTTTGAGAGGCCTTCACGTTTAGAGGAGAAAAAGCATGGGCCTTGGATCCAAACAGTCCTGAATTTGAATTCCAGGTTCACCCCTCACCATGACCTTGAGCAGATTCACTTCTTTAAACCTCTGACCCATGATATGGAAAATGGGTTTATAGTCTCCTACTTGTGGAATTATCATGAGAGTTAAGACATAAATGATAAAGCACTGTGGCTGGCACATGATAAGCAGTCTCCCTTCTTCAAGTGTCCCAAATATAAAGAGAGATAAGAGTCCTTGGGTGAATCCCACCTCCTTTAATAAAGGACCTTCTAAGGTAGGTAGCAGGTATGGTGAGGCTGCTTGCTAGCCCCTGTAATAACACAGGACAAGCAGCTTCACTATTGAATTACAGCATCATTTTCATTGTGCATTTTATGGGTTTGTTATCTATAAGCTGAGACTAAGATATCAAAACCTGGAATTAAAAAAAAAATAGATTGTAGGTTTCTCATAATCAGCTATGAGTAATTCCTTCTTCTCATTCCCTTTATAAAACCAAGCTTCTTTCATTTGCTATTGTTTCCTCAACCAATACTGAAAACACAAACTTCACTACTTTTAAAAATGAAGAAAGAAGGAAACATTGACTGAACGCTTAGCAAGCCTTCATTTTAGGCACTTACTGAATGCCTGGAATGTTTTAGTGTTTGCACTGCAATTGTTTATGTAATTTTAAAAAATAGAGTAAGACATAAATGACAGAGCCTGACTCTATGCTGGGGACTAAGAAAAATCAAAGACCCTTTGTCTGAATGAATGAATGACCCTATCTAAATTGAACAATAAGTATACTTTGAATAAACTCTATAGAAATCTGTTGCAAAACAGAAAGAAAATTACAATATTAGGATATTCTTTTTAATTGTGGTAAGAACACTTAGTATGAGATTTGCCCTCTAGACAAGTTTTTAAGTATATAATACAGTATTGTTAAGTATAGGTACAATAATATCATACAGCAAATCTCTGGAACTTAATCACCTGGATTTACTGAAACTTTTTACCCATTGGAGGAAACTTTTTACCCAAGGACTACCTGTTTACCTGATTGCAACAGGGTCGATGAAGTCTTCTCATTAGGAAGTGACCTATAAATGAGATTCTGAAGGGTGAGTAGGAGATGGTTAGATGGAGAGCAGGCAATCGTGGGAAGAAGAAACAAAAGAACAGCCAGTATAGAGGCCTGGAGGGGAGAAAGAGCAAGAATTGCTCTCAGAGCCCTGAGTAGCCTGCTGTCGGAGCTGCAAAACCAAAGGGTGGATAGAGAGGAGGTGAGTAACTGGGCAGAGGAAAGCCATGCTGAGGAGACAAGGATAAGCAGCCATGGCTTTCCTTCCTGAATCCTTTTCATCAAAAATAACTTTGCATTCGCTGCCAAGACAGTCATTGCCTCACTTTCTGGCACCTTAATTCTAATGGAGACGTTATCAACCATCCAGAGTTTTGCCTAGTTAAGAAAGCAAAAGAGACTAAGTCAATGTTTTTTAAATGAAGTTGCTCCTAAGCTTGTTTCTTCAACTTATGAAAATAGTAATGAGAATACTAACAGAGTGACAATCATCCATGGTGTGGCTGCCGTGTCCCAGACTCCCGGCAGGATGCTTTGCAAGCATTGTCTCCTTTACTTTGAGAAAAACAACAAACCCTACCAGATAGCAGTCATCGTCCCTGTTTACAGCTTGTCCAACAGGTAATTGAGGCTCAGAAAGAGAAAGCAAGGCCAAGCGGTCAGTATCACACTTGACTGCGCAGAGGTGGGTGCAGACAGCTGCCTGTCTGCGCAGCCCTGGCACCCCTACCCGCTCCCCGCCCCAGATCTCTGGAGCAGCTCTGTCCTCTGCCGCTCACAGGCTTGGACGCTCCCAGCCAGATGGAGGTGAAAGACGTCACGGACACCACGGCGCTGGTCACCTGGTTCAAGCCCCTGGCTGAGATCGACGGCATCGAGCTCTCCTACGGGATCAAAGACGTCCCGGGTGACCGCACCACGATCGATCTCACAGCCGATGAGAACCAGTACTCCATCGGGAACCTGAAGCCCGACACCGAGTACGAGGTGTCCCTCATCTCCCGCAGGGTTGACATGTCCAGCAACCCTGCCAAAGAGACCTTCACAACAGGTAGCGACACTTCCATACCCCTCTGCGCTGGGGTGTCTTCCAGGCTCCTTTCACAGCAGGAAAGTACAAAGGGAATTTTCATTTCTTTACATTTTATTTTCAGATATTGTACTGGTTGATTGATTAATTTTCCAAAGGAAAAGGATATCCAAAATAACCTTTCAAAGCTATATATCTATAGAGATCTATAGATAGATATAGGTCTATAAATATATATATATACATACTCACACACACAATTGCATACATGGAAAGTGCTCGTCTGACATTCTCAGACAAAAGTTCTAGTAAAAAACATTTTAATAGAATTTTTAATAATAAAATATAGTATATGGAGAACATGAATGACAAAGATGCCTCCTAACCCTTAGCCTATGCCATCTTTTTTAATGTACCAAAGTGTCAATCAGTCGTTCAATACATATTTTTTCAGAGCTCAGTAAGCACTATGTGAGTTATTAGAAATACATTGATGAACTCAGCAGACCAGTTCTTACACTCATATAGTTTATTTGTAAGTTTCTGTATAGTTTTTTTAAGCACAAAATCTGAGGAAAGCATGAATGACTAAAGTATCACATGCATTAATAATGCGGAAAGGTGCCAAATATGTAGCATTTGTTTGGATTTGTGCATCAGCTATTGAGACAGCTGTGGGGCTGATTTTGTCATTTTTCTCCAACAGTGAGAACCTTTCATATCTCAGCTTGAATTGTCAGACTTCCACCCTCCGGGTACCTGGCATTTCCAGTAAAAATATCCCTCCCTCTCCCACACAGGGCTGGATGCTCCCAGAAACCTCCGCCGCGTCTCCCAGACAGACAGTAGCATCACCCTGGAATGGAGGAATGGCAAGGCGGCCATCGACAGCTACAGAATCAAGTACGCACCCATCTCCGGAGGCGACCACGCAGAGGTTGAAGTTCCAAGGAGCCAACAAGCCACAACCAAGACCACGCTCACAGGTGAGCTCCATATCCTAGATCCAGCCGGCTCCGGAGACGTGGCCCCAGGCTGCAACCTTGCAGTGAGAGAAAACAATACGATTGCCAACCAGCCCCTGCCTTGGCTGTCAGTCAGTCTTTAGAACATCCCAAACACTGAAAAATCATAGCCTCCGGGGAAGGAGGGGGAGTTTTCATGATCTGAAAGTCTTGCTGATATGAAGCTGAATTTCAACCTGTACGTTCTCTCTTAGGACTGAGGCCAGGAACTGAATATGGGATTGGCGTGTCTGCCGTGAAGGGGGACACAGAAAGCAATCCGGCCACCATCAATGCAGCCACAGGTGAGGCGCACCTGGACTCCCACACCCCCTGCCCCAGGCGGGCGCTCACAGACACAGGGCTCAGGAGGCAGAAAACCTGCTGTAGGAGAGACAGAGAGACAGGAGATGACCCAATGAAAAAGGGAAGCCTAGGATCGTCTAGCCCAGATGTCTCGTTCAAAAGCAACAACGTGATTGAGCACACCACACCTAAAGGATGCTGACACCGCTCTCTCAGGAAACTGAGCAGCAGATTTGTTTTAAGGAAAAATTGGAACCAGACTTTATAAGAAATATGAACTTTTTAAAGTTTGTAACCCATTCCATGTGTGTTTTTTTTTTTAAATATCATTGACTAATCAAAACACATCTGCAGGGTTTCTCTTAGAACGTCTCTACCTCCTATTACGTACCCTGGTCATACAAATTTTAAGTGGCAGGAGCATAGGTTAAGTCGGAATTTGCTCTTACCTGTTGCATCCTGAGGCTCTAACTTCTCGGTGAGGTTGGTGAGAAGCTACCTGATTTGAAGCCTTTGCTTCTTTCCTCAAGGTTTCTTTCTTTCTTTCTTTCTTTTTCTGGAAAACTTGTAAAAAAGAAAACACTTTCCTCTCTCCACAAGCCTCCTCCTGATGTACCCCCAGCTACTGTGAAGAAAAGGGAGGCCGGATTGCAGGGGGACATAACTCAGGCTTACTGAGCTTCCTCATTATGCAGGAGCCAGTGCTGGGGGCTTACATATTCTTTTTGATCTTTTCATTTTAAGGTAATTGTAGATTCACATGCTGTGAAATAATACATAAGCTCCTCCCCCAGTTTCCCCAATGGTAACAATTGTTTAATTATAGAACAACATCAGAACCAAGCAACTGACATTGATACAATCTGTCAGCTTTATTCAGATGTCATCAGTTTTACATGCACTCATCTGTGAGTGTGTATTTAGTTCTATGCAATTTTATCACATGCAGATGTTCGAATGCCCCACTACAGTCAAGACCCAGAATATTTCCATCATTGGGATCTCTTTTCCTTTCTTATAGCTACAACACCTCCCTCCACATCCCTAACCCTTGGCAATCACTAATCTGTTCTTTATCTCCATAATTTTTTCATTTCAAGAATGCTACATACAAGGAATCATCTAGTAAGCAACCTCTAGAAATTGACATTTTCATTCAACATAATTATCTTAAGATCCATCCAAGTTGTTTCTTATATCAATAATCAGTTCCTTATAAATGCTTTTAATTGAGTAGCATTTTGTGGTGTGGGCATACCACTCTATTCTTTTCAGTCTTCCATACATCTGATAAGGTAATGTACAACAGCATTTACAAAAGTAAAAACGGAGACCCAGTTAGGTGAGTCTCCTGAAGCCACCCAGCCGGTCTACTGGAGACCTGAGGATGCAGCCAAGAGCCAGCTGACTTTCAGTTCGCGATTAGCCTGCCTCACAGCCTGAGGAAGGTTCATCTCTGTGTCTTCCTCCCAGAGATGGACGCACCCAAGGACCTTCGGGTTTCTGAGACAACGGAGACCACCCTAACCCTGTTCTGGAAGTCACCGTTAGCCAAGTTTGACCATTACCGCCTCAACTACAGCATTCCCTCGGGCCAGCCAGTGGAGGTGCAGCTTCCCAGAGACACCACCTCCTATGTCCTGAGTGGCCTGGAACCTGGGAAGGAATATGCCATCCTCCTGAGAGCAGAGAAGGGCAGGCACAGGAGCAAGCCGGCGCGGGTAAAGGCATCCACAGGTGAGGTCAGCCCCTGAGCTCCCCGCAGACACTCTGTTGACCGTGAGGTCTGCAGACCCAGCAGATAGGCTGTCTTCACACAGGAACACCAGATGGGGAGTCCTGCTACTTTCCCTACTCATGAAGCCTCTACAGGCCACTTTGAAAGAGCTACGCACTTATCTTTTCCTTTCGTCAACTGATTCAGCAAAATTTCCTTGCTGGGTGATCAATAGTGGTTTTCAACTATTTCATCCTAGGAAAACTGGAAGCATCAGGACTTTTGCTTGTCTTTGGGTTTTTTGTTGTTGTTTTTTTTGTACCTTATACAGAGTCTTCCAAATTGTTTGTTGCCCCCCCATGCCCTTTAGCCTAACAATTAATTTACTTTTCATTTTATTTCTTTTCAAGATGACCAGGATGTTAGTAATAATTCTTTGGCTATTTCTCATTAAATATTTCCATTACAGGTCTTTTGCTTTCCTCTAAGGTTACCTGCAAATTTGCAAACAGTCCTTGGAAACTTCCAAAGTGCCCTTCTTATTTTCTCTTTTCTCTTAGTCATTAAGAGGTGAACTTTTTGGTCCCATCGCAGCTACTGACCTCCAGTGTCCCTTCTAGCCCAATCATTCTGTACTTTGTGCCTGCTGCCACATTTTCTCAGTGGCTAAAAAAAAAAAAAACAACAAACAATCAATCAATCAATTCTTCGTATATGAAAAATATGCACATATAACTTTGACCCCAAAATATAAAAGATGTGAAGTTGGAAAATGTTAATTCTTCACAGTGTGATAAGTGATAGTCTGTACCTTGAACTTAGTTATTTATGGAGACCCCACTGAACACATTGTAGTGTGCTGATATTTGAGGGACAAGTGGGTCCTTCATTTAGTGTTGTCATTCTGGCTCCCATTCTCCTGCTTACAGACCTCAGGGGAGGCTAGATATTCAGAACGTTAGACAAAACTCAACCAAGAAAACGGAGTGATTGGGAGGATCAGGAGCAGCCAGAGAAAGTGTCATGGCAGAGCTGTTACTCCGGCTGACTCTCCATAAACCGAAAAGAGGTTGTAATGGACAAATTTGGAAAAGCCTCTGAGCTTTTGTCATTTACAAATACCATCACTAGCATATTTATAAATTTCAAATAACAGTCACTTAAGCAAGATAAAGTTGGTTTCCTCTCTCATAATGTCAATCGGAGGTTAGGTGATTCAGGGGTCATTCCAAATTAGCAGTGACTCCAGCTCCTTCTCTTCTTGTTTCACTACTCTTGGCTTCCATTCCCAAAGTCCATGTCACAATATGGCTGCTGCAGTACAGCCTTCACATCTGTGTTCTAGGCAGCATAAAGGAGGAAAAAAACAAAACCAAAAAGGAGTCCCTGCTAGGTGAGTCTTTCTGGAAGCCTCACTAATGACTTCTACCCGCATTTTATCAGCCACTCCTAGCTGTCTAAGAAAGGTAGTCTTCTAGCTGAGCATGTTGCTGCCCACATTAAAATGTGGCTGTTTATGAGAAAGAAAAAGTCTAAAGTAAGCTCTGGTGGTCAGTTCTACGGTCTTTGTAAGGACTGCTTCCCTCCCAGCTCTGAGAGGATCATCAAGGATGCTCTGGTGAGGAAGAGTATCATAGATGAGGGAGGGGCAGAACAGAACCGGGAAGGACTGAATCCATGGTAAAGAGGTGAATGTTTCAGCCTGTTATAAGGTTATCAAGGGATAACAAAGAACCAGAAAAACAAAAAAAAGAGGAAATTCCTCCTCCTCCTCCTCCTCCTTCTTCTCCTCTTCCCCCTCTTCCTCTTTCTCTTCTCTTTCTGCCTCTTTGCTTTTCTCTGAGTTTAACAAATGCTGAATCAAAGAGAGCTTCCTAGCTCCATTCAATCATGTTACCCTCTCCGCACATTATCTCCTGTCTCCAGTGGGGAAGCCCAGGCCTCAGCAGCTCAGAGGGGTGAAAGCTTCCAAGGGAACCACAGGCTGGGACTACTTTGTCACTGACTGAGAGCCCAGTTCCCGCATCCCAAAAACTCATGATTTCATTTCCCAGGCATGCCTCCTTAACATTGTTTCACAGAAATCACCCTGGATATTTAAAGATATTATTCATTACAGAAAAAAAAGATGCACAGTCCCTCTTATTGGTTCTTTACCCACTGACTCCATAATATTTCTCTATAACATTCTCCATAGAATTATTTTATTTTATTAAAAGTGAGGTGGACATTTCTTTCTTTCTCCTGAATTCTGCCTTCCCAAGTCTCTTACATTTACTACAGTCAATAATATACTACAAGGGTGCTCCCTGCTAAGTTCTGGGGACCCTAGATCATTTGGGATAGGTCTGTGCCCTGAGGAACTTACAATCTACTGAACAGAAAATGCAACGCCCCACTTGCTACAATTGGGGTGCAGAGCATGCAGCAGGAGCACTGAATGCCTTTGAGTACGCGCCCTGAAATGGGATTGAGCTTTTGGAAAGACACTTAGAGGCAAACAGGACTGTGCTGTAGACTATGTAAAGAAATAGGAGTCCAGGCTCTTGGCCTTTATAAGCATGTGGGAAGAAAAAAAAAGAAACAGGAAAAGTGGGAACTCTTGGGTAGGTGTACTATGTGGCTATGAGCCCTGAAATGTCAAAGGGCTGTAGGTTCAACCTCAGAAGAAAGGGACTCCCAGTTCTGCATCACTAGATTCTTAAAAGCAGAAGTCTGCAAAGTGCCACTCATCGTCTGTGGGTTTTACTCAGAAGATGTGGAATTGGCTGCCCCAAAGCATTTTTTCCCAGGGAATTCCAGGGCTCTAGCTGTGGAATTGAACCAAAGTGCAAGCTTGTTCCTTGATGGGGCACCAAATTAAAAGTATGCATGACATAGCTGTCTCTCACACCTGCAATAAAATCCAAAGGCCCCACCACAGGCTGCACAACCCAACAGACTCTGGCCCTTCCCAGCTCTCTGATCCTACTCCCACCATTTTCCCCTTCCTGGTTTCCCCATGGTCGCCTTGGCCTTCACTGGTCCTTAAGTGTGCCAAGCCTGTTCCTATCTTAACACCTTTACACATGCTCTCCTTGCGAATTTTTCCCATGGCATCTTCCTCATTGCATTCAGCTCCTGTGTTAGCTCAAAAGACTTTTCTGGCCACTGATATAAAATGGTGCCCCCATCCTGAGTTACCCCTCCACAAACTCCAGAGTTCCTCATGACACTTATCTGGCCTGATATTATCCAGTAATTGGTTTATTCACCTATTTTCTGCCTCCTACTACCAACCAAAATGTAAGGACCCTGCCTCTATCCACAGTGCCTTGGACAGAGCCAAGCACAAGGCATGTGCTTTATGAGCATTTGCAGACCTCTGTTGTTTAAGCAGCCAGAGAAAAGTTCAAAGCTTCTTCTTGAGTCTTTTGTTTCTTAAAAATAACCAGCTTAAAATTTTCCAAAAAGATTCATTTTAAGGTGGCAAACCGCTTACCCCTCTACCATCTACAAGATATTGGGAATCTAAAGATTTAAAGTTGGCACAGCCAGAAATTCCTTCACGCAAGCTGGTCAACACACCATCAGCCTAGAAATGGGGTTTCGAAATTCTGATTTCCCAGGCCCACTGACATTGTTCAGAGGGTAGATGCCAGTGCACAGCTGGAAGAAGAAGACAACAGCCTTTTCATAAAGAAATGCCAAGAAATTGAGTGTGGAACTCTACAGCAGAAATACTGGGCTTCCTGGGCAGGGAGCCCACAGTGTGTCATTAGCTATTGAAATGTAGAGTCAGCATTTACTGCGGGAAGCCTCTTCGTCCCCACCTCAACTATTGTCTGCTGAATTTTAATTAATATCATTCTCTCTCTTTTTATTATTCCTACCCCTCTTCTTTTAATTTATCTAGTGACAGTATTCTTTGAAGACACAGCTTTTACTTATCTGACTGGCATTTGTTCAGTGGAGGGGTCTGGGTGGGGTACCAAGGGCATCCACTACAGAAACAGTCATAGCATCGCTCACTAAGTATTAACTGATGCTCTTTCTTGATTTACATACCTCCCCGCTCAAAAGACAAAAAGATGGAAGAACAGCCAGAAATTTGGGTGGAAGTACCTTTACCATGATTATTAGTGTTCACCAAGGAACATAACATTAGGTGAAATTACTCTCTCAACTCTATGGGCAGATGAAGCAGGATGGTGGGCAGAGCACTGTATAATATAGTAGCAAAGAAAACACTGATTCACAGAGAAAGGGTGGTTCTCATCAGGAAGGGACATTTTCCACTGTGGGTCTCCTCCCCTTGCTCCATCCATCTTTACTGCAACAGTTTAATAGATAATCCATAATCCCCTTCTCCCTGCCCAGTTAGGTCACTCTTGGCTCTCTTACAACCTGGTACCTGAACTTTCTTTCACTGGAAAAACAAACAAAACAAACATGTTTTATGTCAGAATTAGAGAGAAAGCTTTAAAAGCTAGAGAGGAAAGAGTGACTTAATTCACATAAAAGGGGGAAATCAATGTCAGGTAAGTTGCTGACCAGCAGTTTTGATGGAAGGAAGAGAAAAGAAAAGAACATGGGATAAGAAGGAGAGTTAATGAGCCACTGGATCAATTTCCTTAACCTTAAGGTTTTGGTGAGGTTAGATTTGTCCCATGTCTCTTTACGCAAGAGGACTGCTGGAATATTGTAAAAGACGTGCTCCTGAGTGTAACTGTGCTGAAATCCCAAGGTCAAGGAGACGCCTATCATGCCTGGATCTCTGCTGCTGGCCTCACGAGGGCCAGTGGGTTTAAGGATGGTTTGAGCAGCCATCCACAATATAGAAATGAACAACCATGGCTACATTCCAATGAAATTTTGACTTCATATGTTCTCATGTATTAGGAAGTATTCTTCTTCTTTGAGTTTTCCCCCAACCATTTAAAAAAAATATAAAAACTATGTCAGCGTGCCCATTACCAAAAGAGGCAGCAAACCAGATTTGACCTTTGGGTCATAGTTTGCAGACTCCTATTCTAGATCAAACAAGATTTGAAGGAGTGTAACTTTGCCAAAATGAAACAATTAGAAAGAGCATTCCCAAGAACTTGGAAAAGTCTGCATTCAATAGATTCTTGAAAAGAAACATTTTCCCGTCTGAAAGGATGTCTTCAATCCAATTGCAACCCAAGATCTTCAAGTTAGAAGCCTGCCATAATGGACAGAGCTCATTTGAAATTAGCAAACAGTATAAGACATAAATAGAGGTAAAAAAAAGATCTTTTAAATGAACTCAAAGCAGTTCTTACTCTGTTTACAGGATCCATTTCCAGAGAAAGCTCTTTCTTCCTAGGTCATGGAAAGCCCATTTAAGTTCAGTGCTGGGCATATTATAACTCTGAAGGCACATTCAGACCAGAGAGTTTTACTGCACTTTGTGTGTGCGCTCAGGAGGTGAAACGCGATGGCACACTCCGTTTTAACCCTTCCTCCCAGGGCCTTAGTCTTTCTTTCTACCAGTAAGGGACAGTTTTGCACGGACACACTGCTTTGCTCAGTTCAGCCTTACTTGCACTGTATTAATTTCTCTCTCATCTTCCTGAAGTGATTTATGTAAACTGAGCTGAGCCCCGGAAATTGACAAAAATTCCAACACAAAGAGGCAATGATATAGAGGAGATGAAGGAAGCGTGAAAGGGAAGGAAATCTAAGAGGAGCCAATTTCCTAAAAATACAAGAGTCTGGACAGCTCAGTCCAAGAATCTGAGGAATAACCAAAGGCTGTTCCATCTGATCCCATCCCCAGGATGACAGACACTTTCCAGAACGGAGACTGAAACCAAGAGCAGTAATAACATAGACTGCAGGTCAATAAGTTTTCCTTCCAAAAACAAACTTCCAAAAAACAAACCCAAGCATGCAATAAGGCAAAATAAGTATTACATTGATGTTTCTGTTGTTTTTTTGCAACAGCACTTTCTGGGGACACGTTCGGGGACGCAGTCGGTGACACACAGCACTCAGGCCCTGTGGCCTTTCGGTACTAGCAGCCGGGGTGCCATTTTGGGGTTCCCAGGAAGAAAGCATTTGAGGCACGGTTTAACTGACCCCATCTTTGTCATTATTCAGACCACACCCCTGAACTGGAAAACCTCACCGTGACCAAGGTTGGCTGGGATGGCCTCAAACTCAACTGGACCGCACCTGACCAGGCCTATGAGCACTTTGTCATTCAGGTGCAGGAGGCCAACAAGGCGGAGGCAGCTCAGAACCTCACGGTGCCCGGCAGCCTGCGGGCTGTGGACATCCCGGGCCTCCAGGCCGGCACCCCTTATAGAGTTACCATCTACGGGGTGATCCGGGGCCAGAGAACGCCAGTGCTCTCTGCTGAGGCCTCCACAGGTACCTCTCACCTTTCTGTCTATAGCTTCTGTTTTTCCCAACAGGAAACTGCCCAAAGATAATCAGACGCAACTTGCTTTTGAATGGACTTGTTCTGCCCCAAGTTATAGCACCATGGTGTGTAAGAGTGGGGAGCAACTGGGCTGCATGGTCCCAGGGGCAGCTTTCACACTGCACCCTGTTTGGACAACACTCTTTGGAGCTCTGCAGAGCCCAGCCTGGGGATCACACCCCAGCCCCAATGGCAGGCACCATTAGCTTCACAAACCAGCTCCCTCCTGCTAAACGGAGTTAAGGCATTTTATTTCAAAGAAAAAAACTAATCTTATCTACTGGAGGTTAGGGCTATTCCTTAATGAAATAAGATAACAAATATTTTCCTACACCTTAACCCCTTCGCCCTATTTCACAAATTTAGGAAGCTGCATGAAGCACATTTATCTAAAGAAAATCACATTTTTTAAACTCACATAATGCCTGTTCTTGTGTTACAGAGTCCCTGGATCTCGTGTGATTTGATTATTGAACTGATTCTTTGTCCTTCTCCAGGGGAAATTCCTAGTTTGGGAGAGGTCACCGTGTCCGAGGTGGGCTGGAACACCCTCAAGCTCAACTGGAGTGCTCCGGAAGGAGCCTATGAGCAGTTTTTCATTCAGGTGCAGGAGACTGGCTCAGTAGAGGCAGCCCAGAACCTCACAGTCCCGGGAGGACTGAGGTCCGTGGACCTTCCTGGGCTCAAAGCAGCCACTCCTTATACCATCACCATCCGCGGGGTCACTCAGGACTTCAGCACAACCCCTCTCTCTGTTGAAGTCTTGACAGGTATTCTAAACTAATTCATTAATTTGCTTCCTCCCATTGTCTCTGCTCAGGAGGGATCAAAGCTCTCCCCTGCTCTAAACTGGGTTCAGCTCCCACCACCTTGTGGAAAACCTGTGAAACCTGCTTCCACTCAGATGTCAATTCCTTATATGGCCAAGTCCTAGTTGTAGCATGATAGCCAGTTCTATGGGAAATTCCACGTACTTTTCCTTTACAAAAGTGAGAGGTGACTTTTCTTTCAAAGCGAGTTTCAGTGATAATATTTAAGAAGTTGGAAAGCACAATTTGCATGGAAAAAAATTTGAGTTCATTTTAAGAACATACCAAAAGACTCCCCAATGCCCCATTTGTATGTCAAAAATAGAAATTGTGAACAATTCCTGGAACTGTCTTTCATCCTCAAAACCTGTAGAGAAAAACCCTGGCTTTAGTGCCAACTCTAAGAGTGTGCTCAACAGCCGCTGTAAATAAATTATGCATCTGTTATCAGCACTCTCTAGACAACTCATCCCAACCTTCGCCAGAATGCCATCGCACCTGAATCCCAATGTGCAACTGGCTTTTCTAGTAATTCAGCAAATCTGTGTCCTTATGCAGAAGAGGTTCCAGACCTGGGAAACCTTACAGTGACCGAGGTTAGCTGGGATGCGCTCAGGCTGCACTGGACCACCCCAGATGGGATCTATGAGCAGTTTGTCATTGAGGTCCAGGAGGCCAGCCAGGCCAAAGAAGTTCACAGTCTCACCGTTCCCGGTAGCCTGCACTCCGTGGAAATCCCAGGCCTGAGGGCTGGCACCCCTTACACAATCACCCTGCACGGCGAGGTTGGGGGCCGCAGCTCTCGACCCCTTGCTGCGGAGGTCACCACAGGTATATGACCCTCCAGTCTGACTGGGAGTATGACTGAGCCAGCCTGTCTCTGGAACGGAGAAAACTCCCCGCGTGGCAGAGCCCATCTCGGTGTTGCTGAGAGGCAGCGTGAACACAAACTGTAACTCAGGAGGCTCTGGGTTGGAATTCCACCTTTACTGGTTGAATATTCTTGGGGCGAGGGTATCATTGCACATCTCTGAGCCTGCTTTTCTCACCTTCAAACTGGAAGTAACACCTCTACTGCAGAACACTGTCATGAACAGTAAATGAGATCATGAAAGTGCTCAGCAAAGCGCCCATCCTCTAACAAATGTTGACTAGCAAATAGCTAAATTTATCAGCAATATATAATAAAAACAACATAAATGATAGCACTGTGGCACAAGATTAAGGTCAGAACTTTCTAGAGAAATCTGATCATTAATGGCCTCAGTCATCCAGCTTGTAGTCAGACCTCTACAGAAAAACCTTAGAAATGACAGTCATCTTCTAAAATTACCAAGTCTCTCTTCTTAACAGCCACTCAAGGCAGTAACATTTCCCCAAAAGGACAGCCATATGTGACTTCAGTGTTTTGGAGGAAGAAAAACAATCCATCTCAGTTTGGACCCTGAAAATATGCTACTCCATCTGTTATAGAAAACTTCATGCTGGTCATGAGGTTTCTAGAAACAACTTTAAAAAGAGCTATGGGAAAATGGGCCAGGTATTTGCTAGGAGGGGTTTTTTTTGCAGGTCCTTAGGCCCATGATAGTTTCTAGACTACACAGCCTGTTTTGAAAGCACCATCCAAATAATCTAATTTTAAAAATTGTTTTTCTTTGCACATAAATGACAAATATATTTAGTCTTTGCTAGAAACTACATGCAATTCCTAAAATAAGAAAGGTAATGCCGCAGTCCACCTGAGCTGGCTAGGTTGCCCCTGTCCTGTATTTCCTCAAGTAACTTCCCACCAAATGAGTGTGAAAGGGGCCTTTAAGACATGTGTAATCTGGGGGCAGGATGTTAAGGGTCTCCATCTGTAGTTTGTAAACCTGTGCTTTTAGCAGAACTTCTTTGCACAGCAAATCGTACAAGGAACCCTGTTTATGACAACTAGATGACCAGCTGATCTTGGTGAGCTGGGATGGAGCGGGTAGCCCTGGACCCAGAACCCCCAACCCAGTTCTTTCAAAACAACACCAGGTCTATGTGGAACACAGTTTAAAAACAACCTGTCCAAATGGACAAGTTTGCTCAGACTCTCACAGTAAAATTCCTGCAGTTATTTTCATTTCTAACTTCAGCCTTAAAAAGAGAGACAGAGATTTCATTTAACCCAAGAAACAGGCTCCCCCCCATATTTGAATCTAAGCTTTCTAAATCAGCTATAATATCTACATTAAATTCCTTTTATACATTGTAGAAAAATAAATAGTGGGATCTGCTCTGCACCATTTACCAAGCAATAATCACTTTGAAGTTAAAGTGGGCCCTCACTTCACACAAAGAGCCTTGCTTCATGATGCAGGCATCCTTCATTTAGACACAGTACTAGCAGAAGAGAGTAGAAGGGAAAGAACCAGTCCAAGAACCCAGTACAGAATGTTTGATCAATGAAAGCTGAGCAAAATCCAGAGAGGAAACGTCAGACTGGTCCAAACCTGAAACTTTAAAAACCCAGTCAGCCCATGGCCAGCAATGAGATGATCCCTTCAAGCTCAAGTAATGAAATAAAGCAGGGAGTTCTCTCCAATATAACCGAGAATTTGCAATGGGAAATACTGTTACCGAACTGAAGGCATTTGCTTTCCTGCGCACCAAAGCCCACTAAGACCCAAATGGGGGATCGCAGCAAAGAAAGCCAAGGTTTATTTAAGGAAATGGCACCAAGTCCATGAGCTAATGCTCTGAAACCTGGCTCCCCGATGGCTTGTAAGGGATGGGTTATATAGGGGGGAATCATTAATCATAGTGACTAAGGGAATTAGGGTGGTGGGCTCTACTGATTGGTCAGGGCCAAGGTAGGGAGCAGTTGATCATTGCATCTGGCCCTGATGTCAGCCATGGTGTTGTTCTGTCTGATTTTGAAAGGATGTGGTCAGTAGGTTTGTTCTACATGCATGGGCCTGGGGCTGACACTGAGGTCAAGCTGAGGTCAAGATGTTATCTTGAGCAGAAACTCTGTTCTGATCAACAAACCTGAGGCTTTGTTCTTTAAGGAAGTTTGATGCTGACCAGAACCTAACTGACCTGAGGGCTTTATGGGAAGAGAATGGATGGGCAGTATGTGCAAAGGTGGAAGATCTGCTCAAAAGGAGGTAAATGAGTCACAGTGCTATTAGGGCAAAGCTGGCCTGAATTAGGGAAAAAGTCATATTAAAGAAATGAAGTTCCTGTGCCGTTACAACATCAAAACAATGATGTGTTTGTTAGGCTGCCACTTTCCAGGCACTTGGTATGTGTCACGTAGGACACTCAGAGGTTTATAAATAGCATCGTTTAATCACCCCACAATCCAGTGAAGTGGTACGGTCAGCTCCTTTTAAAGGTGAGGAGAGCAAGGCTCAGAGATGGCTGGCGACAGGCCAAGATTACGCAGCTAGCAAACAGCAGCGTCGGAATTCTACCCAGCGGCCTCCAAAGCCTGCACTTTTAACTGTTCCTATTTCCTTCATCCTGACCCACAGTCCCTCCTTTTCCAATTGTCCTTTAAGCTCTGTATGTGCCTGCTCAGAGATGCACAGATGGGTTGTGCAGTGGTCCACATGGCATTGTCGTCTCAGGGATGGACAGTGCAGATGTTCCCCTTTCTCATCATTTTCAACCCCTGAAAAAAAGCTGTGGCCAGGTACCACAGTTCTAATTGGAAATACCCAGAGACCAAGAATGACTACACACAGGCAATTCTCTCACCTTTTTCTCTCTCTCCTGGGCTGTGGAACGTTTGGTTTCTTCATGTTTGGTTGACAGAACTGACAAATACCTCTCTGTCCTTCTTCAGAGGAGCTCCCTGAGCTGGGAGACTTAGCCGTGACCGAGGTTGGCTGGGATGGCCTCAAACTCAACTGGACCGCACCTGACCAGGCCTATGAGCACTTTGTCATTCAGGTGCAGGAGGCCAACAAGGTGGAGGCAGCTCAGAACCTCACGGTGCCCGGCAGCCTGCGGGCTGTGGACATCCCGGGCCTCCAGGCCGGCACCCCTTATAGAGTTACCATCTACGGGGTGATCCGGGGCCAGAGAACGCCAGTGCTCTCTGCTGAGGCCTCCACAGGTACCTTCCTCTCCATGTTGATGCCCTCTCCCCAGGTCCCCTGCTTTCTCTCCAAGATATCAGGGAGTCAGCCTCTCGCCCTGTCTGAATCCTTTCCATGTGCCCCGTAGCTGCCGGCCATGCATGGTCAGAGACCTCCCCATGGGCTGTGCCTTGGTCCAGATGCCTTTGCCATCTCAGGAATGAACAACGCAGACATTGCCTTTTCTGAGCTTCAGCTTCCAGCCTCTCCCAGACTTTCTCTAATTCTACAACTACATCTCTCATCTCTATTGAATGATGCCTTTCTGTTTTAGAAGACAGCCTGAAGGTTTTAATTCTCCTCTCCAGTGCTTGGATATAACTAAAAGCCAACCCTTCCCACATGTGAGTGCTGGTGGAGCACAGATTATTTACATTAGAGAGTCTTTTTGGTGGTTGGAAATGGTGCTTTACTATCTCAAATCCCTCAAGGGTAGGAGCTCTGTCATTCTTGCACTGAAAAAAAAAGTTTTAATTCAAATGTTTCTTTCAAATGCACTGAGTTAGAGAACTGAATTACCCTCTTCTGGGCAATTCTCTCAGTTACTGAGTCATTGTTAGAACAGCAAATTAGCAAATAGCTAGAGCAACGAGGGGGGAAAATCACACAATTATGACTAGAGACAGTACCAAAGAAAAAGCCATTCATTAACAGAAGTACACGCAGCAACATTTGAAGCAAGGAATGTCCCAGGCTATGAATGTCAGAGATCCGATGTCCTTTTTGCTCTTTCAATCAAGAGGTGCGCCCTGGCATGCTGGCATTTGGGTGGCACACTCCCAGCTCAGACTCAGGACAGCGCCTCGTAATTTACTCATCCCTCTGCTGAGAGACACGGCATCCATCGTTTCCCTGGAACCCTGCAATAGTGAGCAGTCTTCCAGCACTGTCTGCCATGGTCCATCTTCCTCTGGGCCGCCTTTGGTCTGAAGCTCAGGAGAGGCCGTGTTGTTGGTTCTACATACGCCTACCCCATTTTGAGATGATTATCACAAATAAGCTTTCATGCAAATCTCTATGTCCTAGATGGTTCTACCAAAAACATAGCTCCACTTTTTGGCTTCAATCATGTAAGTAACTCTCACTGAGATAAACATACTTCACAGGCAGCCAGTGCATGAATGGGGACCTTGAAATGCCACACGGCTGCCGCTGAGGCTTCCCTGGATGTACCCAGGGCTCATTCCATCTCTTATCCACAAACCATCCCTTCTCAGAAGGCAGGGAAATCACCCTCCACTTCTGATCTTTCCTGCAGATCTTGTGGTTTGGGTGTTCTTAGTAGTTTTATGGGGTGCGGTGGGGAGGAGTATCCATGTACTGATAGCAACACGCCTGCTTCTGATGAGTCAATGTGAGGGGAGGCAGGGCTATAATCCCATCTGATCTGCATTTCACCAAATCCGTGGGGATGGGAAGGCTTTCTCTTTCTGAGAGAGAGAGAATTAGCTTTTCAAACGCTGCTTCTGCCTGCCCTCTGCATGTATTATTCCTGCTGCTCAGAAAAGCCCGGTAGGACCATCTCCAAGGCAAAATGTCATTTCTTGGCTGAACAGAGTTGCCAGGCTGCCTTGTCCTGGCTCAGCTCTCCTGGTTGGCAATGCAAATACTAGCCTTCTTGGCCCACAGAGAAAGCAGTGAAGAGAGGACAAGCAATTTTAAGAGTATGAGAACGGCTGGCCCTTGTCAGAAGTTTAAAGAAAATACCAAGAGTTACACTGACAAGTTGCCAACTTCCTTCAAGTCACAAAGTGAGAAGCCCATAGGTACCATCTTGGGAGGGTATTGGCATCAGAATGATTTAGTCTTCATTTGAATAGATGGGAGCTCCCTCAAAGCAAAGGATGTCTGCAGGAGGGAGCCAAGTAATCTTGGTCTCGTGAGTGCAATTCGGGAGACTGGAAGCTGCCAGGAGTCACATCTCTTGACTGGTGGCCAGCACCCTTGAGGTGGGGCTCCCAGAAGCATCTGGCGTAGACGCAGCCGGTCCAGCCGGCGTCATTCAGCACATCTTCTCACACGCCCGTCCCGGCCAGCTCGATCCTGTGCGGCAGCTCCTGAGCAGAGAATCTAACTGCTGTACCCGCCTTTCTGTTTTTCTTTTAACAAATCCCCTTTTCCTCCCTCATTGGCATTGATTGATAACATCACTTCATTTCACCATAACTCTCAGATATCAGATCTTTCTCCCCAGCTACAATTCTATTAACAACTTCAACTTTAAATACAGCCAAATGATTAACTCAAATTTATTTGTTTCTTTTCCCCTATCCATTTTTTTTCCAGCCAGAGAACCTGAAATCGGAAACTTAAATGTTTCCAACATAACCCCTGGGAGCTTCAATCTCTCCTGGACAGCTACCGATGGAGCCTTCGAGACCTTTACCATTGAAATTATTGATTCCAATAGGTTACTGGAGACGATGCAATACAAAATCCCTGGTGCTGAACGAACTGCCCACATCACAGGGCTGCGCCCCAGTAATGATTTTATTGTCTACCTCTCTGGACTTGCTCCCAGCATCCGGACCAAAACCATCAATATCACAGCTACCACAGGTACACGTGCCCCTCCCGTTTCTAACGCGCTCTCTCTCCAGGGTCTTCCTTGCAGGGTGAAGCCACCCCTTCTCACCCCCCGAAGCACAGGCCACAGTGCAGTAACTCCTCAGCGATGCCAGCCTCGAGCACTGTATCACATTCCTCTCCTCTCACAGTGGCCCATGCGGTGGCTCTCCACTAAGCCCCTCGCCTGATTTGCCACTGATCAGGGCATTTGTGGCAGAAGGTGTAGTTTGGTCCAGGTTGCCACAGGGAATCTGGAGAAAAGCACCCTCCCCTTCAGTAACAACAACAACAACAAAAAGCCATAAGCCCTAATGAGCATTGTCCCTGAGTGAGAAAGACATCTATATCGGTCAAAGAGGTATCAGAACTCCTATTTTTTGTTACCCTAGTATCGTCATCTTCCTAGTGCCTTTGACCTCCTAATACCCAAATATCCTGATAATCTCATGAAATTGTGTTGGTTCTCTTTTTTAAATTGGGAAAGCAATGACAAAGGGCATATTCCTCTTCAGAGGAGTGCAGAAAGACACCATGCCATCCAGAACACCCCAATTCCAATGCTACCTTGGAGAGAAAAGACCAGAACATGCTGTCTTGCCCCCAGAACAGCGAGTGGTAGATGGTAAACACAGAAATAAAACAGCTGTGTTCCAACAAGTAGCTTGGTTAGCAGAAGAGTAAATGGCTCTCCCTTTAAATTTGTAGCACCTGTGACACACATCCCATGGCAGGTGTTCTGTGGCGTGCAGCAGAAGGGAATGCTCTGTATCCATTTAGAAAGGAGAGCCTTTTCCATTCAAAATAACATTTGTAGCACATTTGGGGCGATGCCTTCTCTTGACAGAGAAAGTCAGACATCACAAACTGAAAAAAATAGTTACTTATGGAATGACACAGGAGAATTTCTTCTTCTAGTTCACAGTCTCATATTCTGGGGAATTCAGGAAAAGGTTGGATATTGTAGCATCAAAATTATCTAAGTTGCCCAAGGTCAACGGAGGGTCTGTCTTCATTCTTCATTATCAGGGTGGTCCACAGAAAAGTCTGAGGGCCAGCATTCTCTAGTTCTCATCTCAGCCACACTAAAGAATAACAAAACCTAGGGGAGAAAATTAGTCAACCATATATATTTGTTTCTGAAGGCTCAGATCAGTTTCCGAGAAAGGACAAGAGCATACCCTTACCAGAGTGTAAAGTCTAAAACTTTATGGATTTAGTCTTATGTGTTTTGATTTTGAACCTATAACGGTTTTAAATGGACACACTTTCCTATTTTTTTCTCCTTGCTTTAGTAGCTGAACCTCTCCTTAGCCACCTCACTGTCTCAAATGTGACCTGGGGCACTGTGTCCATCTCGTGGAAAGCGCGAGAGTCTGCCTTTGATAGCTTTCTTATAGAAGTTAGGAATTCTGACCACCTCCGGGAGATGCTGGTGCGTTCAGTGCCGGTGGTGTCCCGCAGTTCTGTCTTCACCAACCTCAAACCTTCTTCTGATTACACCGCCCACCTTCATGGGCTGATTGGTGGGCAGCGCGCTCAGACCCTGATGGTCCAAACAACCACAGGTATTTCCCAGGAGGGGGTCTTCACTCTCCATTGAACTTCCTTTGAGGAGCATTCCAAAAATCCCTTGCTCCCCATTTTTCATCCTCCCAGTTCCTCCAGATCTTTCTCAAATTTGATACAGCCACCCAAATCAGAGCTTTAAAGATTAAAAAAATATATTCTCACCCCAAATTAAGTAACTTCAATGTCAACCTCTTTTTCCTAAATATTCCTCCACATCTGGAGTTGCTCTGTTTGTATAGAGTTAACCTGACTTGCTTTGGTTGAATTTCTAAACCATCCTTTCATCTGATCTTTCATAATTGCTTCCAGTTCCTCTCATTATCATCTGCCTGCGGTCTTTCTAATCAAAGTTTGCCTCTGTCACATTCAAAGAGGTGTGTGCATGCTGTTTTTGGTTCCTTGGTCAGAATGCTCAACATTCGCTTTCCTCATGAAGATTTTAAAAGTGGTGCCACTAACATGTAGAGAAAAGATTCTAAAACACACCCCAAAAACCACATGGTCTCATCTTATCCTTGAGACTTTCATTTGCCTGCATTCCCTACCAAGAGACTGCTCCTTTTATAACATTTACCCTATCAAGCATGTTTTATCATCCACTGGAATCTGCTACAAAGGGTTAGAGTCTTCCTTTCATCTATCATTTTGTCCAAATCTTGGTGCATGTGATGAATATTCAGAGCATTAACTTTTTGAGAAAACGTCTGTCATTCCTGGAAGCAGGCAGCATGTCAAGAAAGTGTTTCAGAGGGTTAAAAGTGGTGGGAGAAAAATGTTCCTAGCTTGCATGGAACACTAACTACCATTCTCTTCCCGAGTTTTTTCTTGCATCTCACTTTTCAGCTTGGTTGCACCCTTTGGGCGACAGCTGGCAGTCAACCTGACCTTGAGAAGCCTGGTCTCATCCAGCATGGCGAATGTGTTGGCACTGCCGGTCTCTGTCTGGTAGCATGACAAGAGTCCTGACGTGCATCCTTAATTCTGGAGATTGCCTCCACAGCCAAATACAGGACAAACAGAGTGCCATTTGGAGGATTTTACCTTTTGTGGGGTTGAGGTAATTTGCCACTGCTGTGGCTGAAAATTATACCATCAAACTGACTGCTAAGTAGGAAATCCCATGCCATTATTTAGGCCTCTATTCTGCTTTGAGCCAGATCCTTTTTGTCCCGAGAGATTTTATAGCATTGAGTTATGCTGTGCAATCATCCAGCTAAAGTTTATCCAGAAGAGTCCTCTCCTTCTTGCAAACACAGTAGCTGCAGCAAAACAACTCCTAAGTCCTTGGGAGGATTAGTCTGCTTCTTCCCAACCCTAAATCCTCAGCCTCGTATCTCTGCCCTCTGGGACTGTTGCCTCTCTCTAAAGGACAGTCTGGGTTGAACTTACATTATAGTTAGTATTATTTGGTTAATGTGCATTTAGGAAGCCTGATCATATAGTACATCCCAGCTGAAAGTAGCATATAGGTCCCCTGCTTTAAAAACGAGTTGTTCTCATCACTGATTGTCTAGACTTCAAGGGACAAGAGAAACTTAACCTCCCTGGAATCCATCTTTCCAAGTTACCCAAAAGGTGAATTTCCTGTTCAGAAAAATGCAACACCCAACTTCAAGTTTTTCTGTAACATCTTCATACACCAGGAATTTTTTTAATGAAAGCCATTTTCACATTTACAGTATTGGGGGTGAGAAGTAGGTTTTCCTATAGCATATACATTTGGGTTTCTAAATATTATCAAGAATTTCTCTTGTATAGGCATTAGCCTTTAATTGGGACAATCCATATAGATATTAAGAAAACTAAGTAAGGAAATGTCAGAGTAACTTTTCTAAGTTGCTCAGTGGCTCCTTGAGATGTTCAAAGAATATCCCTCATAAAGGGTATCCATTGACTAAACAGTTTATGAAATGCTAGGATAAATAAAATTAAGTAGGTTTCTTTATAGGAACCAGCATTTCAGAGTCTTTAAAATGCTAGCATGTTTTTTGACTCTCCAGGATGTGATAGAGCCTTCCATGTTTACCATACATGTTCAATAAGAAGCTGTCTTTTCTTTGAACATCTTACAGAGCTAAGGCGCCATTACAAACCTTAGATAATGTACCCTTAATGCCCTTTGCATTAATTCTGCTGCTCTCGTGGCTTGTTTACTTTTCTTCATACATGACTAGCACATGGTCATGTCTACACATAAAAAGAATGCAAACCAACCCATGCCTGCAGACAAAGCAATGGAGCCTAATATACCCCCTTTCAGCAAAGATTTGGAGGGGCTGATGCTTTCATGTTCTATGGCTACATGCTGGAGAGATCCACACTGCTTCCTCTAATAATGTCTCTCTCTTTCTCCCTGCCTATGTTCCTCCTTCTTCAGAGCCAGAGCCACAGTTGGGCATGCTAATCCTTAGCAATATTACTTCTGACAGCTTCAACGTGTCATGGACCACTCGAGCTGGGCCTTTTGCAAAGATTGTTATCAATGTTAGCGACTCTCGTGCGCTGCATGAGCCCCAGCAATTCACAGTCTCAGGAGATGCACAGCATGCTCACGTCACCGGCTTGGTGGAGAACACTGGCTATGACGTTAGTGTGACAGGGACCACCTGGGCTGGGGACCCCACCCGACCCCTCACTGCCTTTGTCGTGACAGGTACTCTTTCAAAGGTTCTCACTCATCTGCTTAGAATTCTGAGACTGGAAAGGGGGGGAAAGGTGATAGACATTCTAAAGAGAAATGGAGCCCAAAATACAGTCTTCGCTCCATATATAAACATCTAAGTGAAGAGGGAGCAGATGCTACTGCAAAGAGGAACCCTCTGCAGCCACTTTTTGGAACTGGAGACAATGTAGTCAATAGTTGTATAAAACTTGCAGGGATTTCTATGCTCAAGTTTATAGGCTGTCTGATTCACCGTTTGGAGATTCTGGCTAAAGAGTGAGTTCTAAGTTAATAATGGCCTAGGATAGGAATTTTGTCCATAAATCATGCTACAAAAGGCAGTCAGTCCATAAACTACCTGCTCCAGAAATAAAATAATTTATCTTTTTCTTCTAAATAAATTGACTTTAGAACAGATTAATGAAGTCTCAACTTAGGACAGCAGATAAATCCCTAGCTAATTTAACCTTGCCCATTCCTTAAACTTGACTTCTAACTTCTCTTTGAATTACGTGAAAAAATGATTTTCTATTTTCTTTCCTGAGATCATCCTAAATCAATGACAAAAGCAGCAAGTAGTGTTCATTTACCAAATATCTAGTCTTAAAAACAGGAGAACCAACTCTGCCATCTGATTTTCACATTAAACCAGGACTCTCCTAGGACCTAAACTGCTGTAAATAAGACACATTAATAAGTCCAAGTGGCTACTGGAGGCAGCAGTGTCCCCCAAGAGGGAGGACTGTGAGACCAGGCCTGAGTGGCTTCTCACCCGGTCCCACATTCTTTTCAGTTACATAACCTTGTCCGGTTCTTAACTGCTCTGAACGCCAATTTCCTTATTATGAGGAGATGATGCGCAGAGCTCCCTCTGGCAGCCTTGTCACAGGAACTAAGTGGATACGGTGAAATGTAACTGCCCAGCATCCAGCTGGCATTTGACGGATGCTGCTGGGTCCTCCCTGCCTTCCCCCAGCGCCATGAGGAAAGCGGTGCACTTCAAAATTCGCAGCAAGCCTGCGTAGAATCAACAGACCTACGGAGCTGTGGCTTTCCTATTATTTTTAAAAGACTCCTGGGCAGGTTTCAATGTGAGATCAAAAAGCGGTTATATTTTCTGTCTCGTTATCTAATGTAAATTCAATCATTCACAGTCTTCAAACACAGACCATGGCAATTCCTTAGGGGGCATGAGGTAGCCATGACCTGAGACTCTTACTGCCCAGGAGGACAGGAATGGCCAGCCACAGAGCCCATCAGGCCCTGACTTGTAGCCGCCTGCAGAACCGCCCACAGCACAGAGAGAAGAAAAGGAGGTCAGGAGAGCTGGTTTGAGGAAGGCTGGATCCAGTTACAGCATTGTCTCAGCTAATCCTTGAAGAGAAAAGGCTGCATTTTAAAAGAAGCATATTTTAAAAAGAGAGGGGGAAAATGAACAGGAGGGACTACAAATAACAGACCCTTGATTCACTAATTAGCCTGAATGCCCTCCTTTTCATCAGAATGTGCTGCTTTGATGGCATGGAAGCGCAACGAAGCTAGCTCTCCAAGCGAGGCGCCGCTTATCTAAACAAAGTTCAGCAGCAGAATTTGAGACTCTTGTCTTACAGACAAGGAAGCCTGTTTGCACAGTACATGAGATTTCATCTTTGCCTTTGATAGAGTTATGATTCTGGGGAGATCTGTACATGGCAAAAAAAAAAAACCCCTCAAAATAAACACCAAGTGTTTCAACAAAAGTACGAAAAGTCCAAGCCACAGTAAAATTTAAACCTCTGCTTAGGGAATGAGAACATTCATTTACTTGTTCATTCAGTCACCAAACACTTCTTTTTGAAACATTTTTCTTTACATCTCGTGGATTAGACTGTGGGCATTAGTGTACGGTCATTTATCTCTTTGAAAGTTTCCATTTAGTTGCAATGACAAAAGAAGTTTCTAAACTAGATGCAGCTAAAGCAGTCTTGGCCATGGAATTCCCATCCCCCTGCCCCCTCTGATAAACAAAATAAATACATTCACCATTACTATTTTGTTTTGCAAGAGAGGAGGCTTTGGACCTTCACTAATCCTGCTTCTGCCTCAGGACCTGCCAACACTGGTGGGGCTGACTAATGAGTTGTTGGCTAAGGGTGTGGAGAGAACATTGAACTTGGAGTCTGATGACCTGGGTTGGATCTCCGTCTAGCCATCTCGTAGATTTGTGATCTGGGACAAGCCATTGACCTCTGTTTCTTTAGATGGGATGGGGGAGGGAACTACTGACAGCTCTTCTAAGCTCCCTCCTCTTGGAATGTGTGAAAAGACCCTTTGGCACCTAACAAGTAAGAGTGCCTGCGTTACAGATGTTTGGTGAATGAATGAACAAATGAGGACGGCAAAACTTAGAGAAGATCCAGACGTGTCCTTAGCCCCTAAGTTTATCCAGGAAAAAACAAACATCAAAAGAATTAGCAAATCTAAGTATCCTTTACTGGCCATAGCCATAATTTGTTAATTTTGACACGTGAAAAATATTCTTCCCTTTTTCTCAACTTGTGACCACGTGTCACTAGTTGACTTGATTCAAAGTATGAACTAGAAGTGGGGTAGAAACATGGAAATTATAGCAAAAGGGGAGTATATTTGAAGGGGGAGGGGAGCTGATTGGCTTTAAGACCAGAATAGAGTGGGATGTAGGGAAAGGGCCCAAATCCAACACGAAATATCCAATATAAGAAATTCTTGGCCAGTGGAGTCAGGCCCTGCTAAAAAAAACCTTGCTCTATCACATACTAGCTTTGTGACTTTGGCCAAATTAATTAATCTCTTTGAAGCTCAGTTCTCTTACCTATGTAATGTGATAATATCTATCTCATAGGCTTATTACAAGATTTACACAAGATACCATTGTCCGGCACCTGACAAACTCTCACTAATCTGCTGAGCATAGAACACATTCGATGGTCAATCGGGTATCTGTCCGTGTTTGTGGAGACTTGTGCTATCCCGGCAGAGTCAGTGCTGCTAACCTGAGTTCTTTTCACTCCTCCCTTCTTTCAGAGGCTCTGCCCCTTCTGGAAAACCTAACCATTTCCGACATTAGTCCCTACGGGTTCACAGTTTCCTGGATGGCATCGGAGAATGCCTTTGACAGCTTCCTAGTAACGGTGGTGGATTCAGGGAGGCTGCTGGATCCCCAGGAATTCACACTTTCAGGAACCCAGAGGAAGCTGGAGCTCAGAGGCCTCATAACCGGCATTGGCTATGAGGTTATGGTCTCTGGCTTTACCCAAGGGCACCAAACGAAGCCCTTGAGGGCTGAGATTGTTACAGGTATTTTGATTCAAGTGAGCCATTTTCTTCTCTTCCTGGTTTCCTACCATGTAATCCATTTACCATATCACCATGGTTTTAACATCTTTGTCCATGTTCTCTACTTAATCCATAGATGTGGCTTGTTCTTTTATGCTCCCCCCACCACGTTCTCCCTTGTCTTATGTCTCTAATGAGCACTCCCCTTCTCCCACGTCACAAACGAGAAGGTCGAAATGTTTCCATTTGGTGTTCCAAATCCATTAGACCATGTCTTTTCCGTAGCTCTTGTGTGTTTAGTGCACATCACCTTCCCCTGTGTTCATCCTGGCTGGTCCCCAGCTACATTTCAGCCTTCTCAGAAGAAATATAACAATATGTTTGAAAAACTTACAACATTCACCATCTCAAAGTTTCAACCGTAATCTTGACAAACTTACCAGGTGGGCTCATCATTGCAGAACAAAGAATCCACTTATTATATTGGTAATCACTAATATCATGGATATTCTTCAACACAGACTAAATCCATAATTTTCTCAAGACTAGTAATTCCTAGAGAAATAGAGCATTAACAACGTGAACCATCCAAAATCTGTGTTTTCCAAAGTCTTTCTAGAGATTGAGACTTCTGAGAAATATTCAGAAGTCCTACATGGTGAAAAAGTCCCATGCTCAAATGTTTTGGGAACACTGACTTCAATATAGTTTAAAAGGATCCTTCACCACAAGACTTTAAAGAACATCCTAATATGCATGTGTCTCTCCAAGAGGGATTTACCCAGGCAGTATTTCCCAAACTTACTGGACAATGGATACCTTTTAAGGAAGAAGATCAAACAGGAATAGTTTGCTGTGAGTACACTTTGGGAAACACAGCTGTAAATTTATGTTGACGTTGAGTTTTGTCTAGTTCAGGCAATCCAAGATAGTACCTTGAGTCCAAGTATTTAGTCCAAAGAGGTTCCAAGCCTCAGTTCTACCATCTTAACACTTATGTAATGGTTAAAAAAAGCAAGCAAGTCAAGAGTAGGAGCCTTCTTTAGTAAAACAGCTCCAAGAAAAAAGCAAAAAGATCATAACATTTATATCATTTTAAAAGCCATTTTGCTCATGATCAAGGGAAATATAATCAGCAGTATCATCATGGGCAGCTCTACAGATCGTTAATGCTGGTTTATTTGTTTTTTCAAAAAGAAAAGAAAAAGATCTCACAGAGGATGGGCACTCAGCCACTGGAAGACAGAGAGCAAATGTAAACAAGTTACTGGCTTTGAACTTGTTTAATAATGCAAGGGAGGGCCAATGCTGAGTCCAGATGTGGATTTATAGAATTGCTTTTAGACAAAACTCACTTATGCAAGTACCCCCTCGGTTTGTATTAAATGTGTCAACACCATCCTCCCCCTATCCTAGGCCTGCTAGACTTGTTCACGTTGAATAATTTTACTTTCCGTATCTCAGGACACTCGTATATCTGAGAGCACGGGCATCACTGCATATTGCTATCCCGCTGGAGAGAAGCTTGCGCACGTTGATAATTGATGTTGTCTTTCCTCCTTCCACCATTTTCTCCCCTTCTAGAAGCCGAGCCAGAGGTTGACAACCTTCTGGTTTCAGATGCCACCCCAGACGGTTTCCGTCTGTCCTGGACTGCTGATGAAGGGGTCTTCGACAGTTTTGTTCTCAAAATCAGAGATACCAAAAAGCAGTCTGAGCCACTGGAAATAACCCTCCCTGCCCCCGAACGTACCAGAGACATAACAGGTCTCAGAGAGGCCACCGAATATGAAATCGAACTCTATGGAATAAGCAGTGGAAGGCGCTCCCAGCCAGTCAGTGCCCTAGCCACAACAGGTACTGTACAGAAGCAGGAAAGAAGGGAGAGATGTCACTATTGGGGGTCGTCTTCCTGCAGGGCTAGGACCTTACAGGAGCTTTGGGCGCAGACTTCAGATCCTGGCTCTTTCGGTTACAGACGGGGAGACCGCGGACAATTTGGCCGAGTCTCTGCACAAAGAAAAAGTATTATGCCATTTATTTAGTAGTGTTGTGAGGATTAAATGAGGTAATTCGCAGAAAGCGCGTAACAGGACTGGCACACAGTGAGGGCTCGGCAAATGAGATATATTTACATATTCATTGTCATCATTAATACATCATCATCATTTCAATTATCACATGTTTTTTCATTCCAAAAATTTTTCCTTCTACCAATTATTTCATCATTTTTTATCCAGAGATATACCTCCTTGTTCTTTGGTCAAATGCTTGAATTATATTGTGCAGAGGTAATGGGGAAGTAGTACCTCCACCTATAAAAATTGGTATTTATAAAATGCTATGTGTGAATAAACCGTACCATGATCAGGAAGGAAAACAAGGAAGCAGACTTGGTGAACTCTTGCCTTTCTGGATGCTCGCTAATTTTACTCGGTACTTACAGCAACTCTTCAAAGGCACTAGAGGAGGAAATGAAAACCCTTTTCCATATGAGTTGTTGCAAGGAGAATAAAGGAAGATGGTTAAAAACATGGCTAATGATAATAATATTATGAAAACTGAGATGACTCTTTAGAAGGAAAAGGAAAGACCTACAACAGGTGGGGTGAGTTTCTTTACAAAATTGAGAGAAATGGAGCCATATAGCCTTAGCTAGAGGTGGCTGCTTCAAAGAGGAACCAGAGGAAAGAATCACAAAATCATAGGAAGAGGTAGAGGGATCAGAGAAAGGATGCAGCCCAGCCTCTTCTGTTTGTGTATGAAGAACCTGAGGCCCAGAAAGGTAAAGTAACTTGCCTAAGGTCACACAGCTAGATTTAGGGTAGAACTCAAATGCCAACTTATTTTAATACTACTAAATATAAGCATGCTGGATGACAGATAACCAATGACTATACGGGGTGAGGCAAAAGGAGGTTCACAGTTGCGAGTACACAAAATACACGTTATTCTTGTATTATTATTTATTTATTATTGCATTATTTGCTGTACAAACAACTGTCAATGGACTTTTGCACATCCCTGTACGTGCCACCTCCGGCAAGCATAGCGCACACCTCTAGCCAAAACCTCTTTGTCCAGAGATGGGTATCTCATTATGTCCCATTCCAGGGCTTAATGAGCTCCAAAAAGCCACCTGTAGAAATCACAATCTGTATTTGCAGAGGTGGAGGGAATGCTGAGATCCAGGCAGTGACTCAGGGGAAAACCCTCTTCCGCACGAACAAGGACACCCCCCGGGGGTGCAGCCCCTGGTCTCCTCCCCCTGTGGCTGCCCAGAACTCAACTGCAGATCAGAGGCAGAGCCTGATTTTGACCTTGGTTTATAAACACTGGTTTTCAAAGTTTACTTCTAGTTACTGATTTTGTTTTGTTGATCTTTTCTTCTAGAGGCCCTGCAGCTCCAAAGCCAAAAGGAGAATGGGGCGGGGGGGTTGTTGTTGTTTTTTAGGAACAAAAGAAAAGATAGACCCTACTTTTTGAGAAAGCCCTTTCTTTGATTTTTTTTTTCCTCTGGGCCCTTGTAGTTCACAAAGAGATGTATGTGAGTGTGTGTGTGTGAGAGAGAGAGAGAGAGTGTGTGTGTGTGTTTGTACGCCTGTGCTCTGGTACTTAGAGAAAACAGGAGAGGTAACTCTGTCTTCAACCTTGTAAAGTTTCCCTTTTTGTTTTCTCATCCGTTCTCTGTCCTGTCTTCCCTTGCACCATTGTAAACCTTCTCTGTGATGCTCCGTTCTTCTTTTTTCTTATGAAGCTTCTGCAGGTCTTCCTCTTACCCCCCTGCACACCAGCGGCCAGCCCTGAGCGCCCTGGTGGCAGAGATAGTGGTTAGAGGCCACGTAGCATAGGGGTTAGTTAGCCTGCAGTCTCTGGGTGGGTTTCTTAGGAGTCTGATCCGGGCTCTATGTCTTACCAGCCGAGTGGCCTTGGGCAAGTCTCCTTTTCTCTCTGAGCCTCAGTCCCCTCACCTGGCAGATAGAATTTACCTCAAACGTCAGCCATGAAGTTTAAGTAAGAGCACGAATACAGAGTTATTAAGCAGAGTTCCCTTGCCTCTGTAACAAAATGAGCTATTAATGCATTATTATTATTTAATATAATATAACAAAACATAATATTGAGTGATTTAATATAAATCTTATTTTTATTGAGCCACTTGGTTCAAAATTCAAAAATTAAGAAAGGATTAGAGTGACGTTCTTCTTCTGCCATGTCCCTTCCCCCAGGTGCTCTATCCAGAGGCGGTCAGTATTACCACTTTTTTCTGCATCAGCCCGGAAATACTCTGTACAAGCAGAAAAAATTAGACATAAATCTTCATTCTCTTCTACCCTTTTTCAGCACAGCAGTTAACACGCCCACTGTTCCACACCTTGTTGATGTTGGTGTGTGTTGTCTGTGTTCCTTGCTTATTAACAGATCTCAGATCATTGCATACACATTATTTATTTAACCATTTCCCTACTCATGAACACTTAGTTTATGATTTTTTTTTTTTTTGCTCCTTTTATCTGTCATTCTCTGCATTTATAATGGCACCTCTTCCCTTCTGTGGTTTTGTGGTTTGAGCCACTTCTTCACAGTAGCCTTGGACCCTCTGGGGGGGGGGGGGCCTGGAGTTGCCAGGAGCTTCTTTTGCCTCTGGGAAGTTCAATGCCGACAGGCCTCTGACTACCCTCAGGAGGGCCCGCGGAGTAGACAGAAAATAGTTCGAAATCCAGCAACAGAGTAAGATGATTTTTTCATTCTCTTCTAGAGGTTCCTTAACCTGTCCCCCTTGGGAGTCCCAGACATGCACCCCCGAGGTTGATGGGGATAATCAATGCCCTTTTCCCTCTCAGAACATGCCCCGCCTCCCTTGCCAGTCAAACAGCCTCTTTACCCCTCTGCTCAATTCCAGTTCAGGTGCATTTGAACCACACACCACAGTGCTGCGGTGTCATTGTGTCTTGGGGCCTAGGTCAACGAGTCTGCAGAGACGTGTGGCAATCCTCCTTTCCATATGAAGCAGACTCTTCATGCCGAACGAGATGTGCTCAAATAACAAGTAGTCTCCCACACTTAGCTAGGTCTGTGGTCCAAAAATATCATGCACATGGACCCTGAAATTCCACTGCTACTGTACCATTCAGGAGTGCATGATGGATGAGGCTCCTGATTCCTATGGTTGCTTAGACAGTACAGACAACATTGCCATTTTGCAGATGAGAAAACTGGGATTCAGAGAAGATAGCTGTGGCCTCAAGATAACACCTTCTAGAATGGGCCAGGACCTGCATCAACAAAGTTTGCAGAAGAGCCTGAGTTTACATACCTCCCTGGGGTTTTTTTCCCTCAGCGGGCCTCATCTAGACCTTTCCTGGGGGCTACGTCAAAATGCAAAGTTGCCCATGGCGGAAAGAGTCACATGGGAAATAAAAGAGAGAGAAGGCGAATCACATGTACTGAATTCTTACCTCCTGCCAGATTCTGCGCTGGGGCTTTATACCCATTATCTCTGCTAATCCTCAGAACACTCCTTCCTGAGAGTCGGCGCCATGTATCGCTGGACAGCTGGAGCAGCTGAGGCTCGTGGCAGTGAAGGGAGGAGCTGCCCCAGGTTGCACAGGCTCTCCGTGGTATTTGGACAATCAAGATCTTGCAGGCCCCAGAGCCTTTGTGGTTCCCAAAGCTCTCCCAGGAGAGGACAAAACCCCACGCAGCCACAGAGTCTGGGGTTGGCTACCAGGATGCAAGAGAAAGCTGTAGGAGGGGAGAAAAAAGATAGAAATGAAGAGGAAAAAAACCCTCTCCAAAGTGGTCTGTGGGTTTCAGAACTTAATGATCAACGTGGGTTGGAGAAGGGAAAAGATGAAGCGAGGTCCCTAGAGACCTGAAAATTGTTTCCTGAATTCTCTGGTTAAGCATGGTCAGCTAAAGAGGGCAGAAAGCTGTGCCAAAACATACAGAGAGAAAGCCAAAGGACACTGGGTTTGCAGGAGGAGGTATTTATGTAGCAGGAACCGGTCCCTGGGCGTGGCTTTCTCCGCAGGTAGACCCTCTGTCCGTGCTGTGTTTACTTTGGTGATGGGCCCAAGGTTACTCCCCTGGCTCTGGACCTCCATCCAGTTCTGGGAATGGGTTTGCCGAGGTCAATTTCCATGTGAACATTATTTTGAGGATGCCGGGGTTGTACTCAGTTCTAATGCCCAGTCTGGGACCCAGAAAGGTCACACCACAAGAATGTTCATTGGAAAACTGACCAAGCCTCAGTTTACTCCTCTGTCAAATGGCTAATGATACCTTCTTCTCAGGGTTTTCTAAATGAGGATTAATCCTTATAAATTGCAAAGAATTATGCTATTGTCAAGTCTTGGTATCATTTAAGGAAAGCAACTAGAAAGCCAAAGTTTGAAAACAAATGCTAAAAATACCGAATCAAATGAGAGTGTATTTCAAGCTGAGAATCCACTTACCCACACTCGCTTAGATGTCAGCTGAGGCGCTCATGTTCTCCCTGAATGAAACCAAATGGCAGCTCCACAGCCCGGGACCCTGCACCTGAATGAAACAATGGTTGTTTCCATCAAGTCAGTAACTTGACCACAGATTGTCACGTTCTCCATCCTGAATCTGGAGACAGGCTAGGAGCAGAGCTGAATTTTCCTGGATAAGGAACCCAGGAAGAATCTTTGATGAGCAAGATAGTCACCTAACTGTTTCTGGGTTTCTCCTGTGTTTTCTCCTTGACAGCCATGGGCTCCCCGAAGGAAGTGGTCTTCTCAGACATCACGGAAAACTCGGCTACTGTCAGCTGGATGGCACCCACTACCCAGGTGGAGAGCTTTCGGGTCACCTATGTGCCCATTGCCGGAGGTAGGAGACTCAGGGAGGAGGCCGTGAGGTAGACGGGGTCTGCCTGGGGGGTTTGGGTAGAATAGTGAGGAGACCCTGACCATTCCTGTCCTCCCAACCACATTAATATTGGAGACCATCTGGGTCGACGTCATCTGTAAAGTGCCATGAGGTCCTGGGAAGAAACTACCTAGGGAAGGTGATTTTATGAAGACCTTTTTCAGCCCTGAAATTCTAAACATCTATGAAAAAGAGATCCCCAATATTGTGTCCCCACAATGACAGAAGACATGAAATACATTGGCCTTTTCTCTTGGAGCACATTCATCTGAAAAGCTGGTCTTGGCCTGGGTGTATCTGAGGTTTGTGACCTTGGGTCCCCACAAAATGTCTGCCTCAGCAAAGAATGGGAAGGTGTGACTTAGTAGAACTGGGAGTTCTAGTTCAGAGCACATGGGCTGTAATAAAAATGACCACGGAGGAAGCACAGTCAAATCTGTCTAAAAACATTTGGGAAGGTAGTGAGCTCCTTGTGAGGGGTCGTGTGTCCAGAGAGAAGGCTTGGCTACTTCCTCAGAAGAATGCTGTAACGTCTCTACATGGAGTCTAACCAGCTGATGTCCAGGTTCCTCACCAGCTCCCAAATTCTAAGAAATATAAATTTTGGACTTTTTAATAACTGGAAGAGTACAGACTTGATTATGACCATCTTCTCTTCTTAAAGGGTAGAATCCCTGCTGGTAAGGCAGCCTATATATTCCTAACCCAAAAGAATGAGTTAAATATGTTAGATATACATCATAGTAAGCTCCCCACGTTCTTTGTGAGAAAAACAAATAAGATCTGCACATGACAGCTCTCAACTGAACGGAAATTTGCCATTTTTAGCACATTGTGACTTCATGTTTTTTTCCTTCCCTGGCTTGGATTTTGGCATCTGCCTGGATGGAAAAATATATTACACAAAAAGTAAGACCTCTTCTCTTATGCCAGACGGCAGGAGCAAATAACAAGTCAAGAAAATGGTATTGGATGTGGTGTCATTTCCGAATCAGACACGCCCATTCTTGGGGCAACGGTGAGGGCGTTTCCAGGAGGCTCCCCAGTCCCCATGTTGCTTTACTGTGTCCCAGGTACACCTCAAGTGGTCACTGTGGACGGCGCCAAGACTCAGGCCAGGCTGGTGAAACTCTTGCCCGGAGCCGAGTACCTCGTCAGCGTCACCGCCGCCAAGGGCTTCGAGGAAAGCGAACCCGTCTCGGGAACCTTCACCACAGGTGTGGCTCTCACTGATAGCATTTTTGCTCAAGACTCAGCAGCTGGGAAAATGTTTCTGTTTAGGAAATCTTAGTGGGAAGAGATTTGAAGCATCACATGCTTCATTTCGGGCCCGTCCCTATCCTCCTATGAGCTGGGGAACCTTGATATTTATCCTTGAACACCCTGGGCCTCCGTTTCCTGGGGCCATATGGAAGAAAAAGCCCAAGTTGCGGGGTCACACTGACTTGGGTTGAAATCCCAGATTTACCACTTCTAGATACATGAGCAGTCAATTCATTTCTTCCGGCTCTAGTTTCCTTCTCCGTGAAATGGGTACAATCCTGCTTCCTCGGCTATAAGAATCACATGAAACAATATAGGCAAAGCATCTGTGTATGAGATGACTGTGCACGATCAGCCTCCTCCCCCGTCCCCACCTGGTACCAGCAAATCACCAGGGGCCTTTCAAGGCAGGTGCTTCACACAGATATGTTACGGCGACAGCTGCAAAGTTATTGCTCTCAACTGAGCAGCCTGCTGTCTTCCAGGCAGTTACTAATCCCTTTGCACTGAAACCATTAAAATGGCTGTTGTCATTCCCATTTTACAAAGGAAACAACTGAGACCCAGGGCCCTGTAACTAGTAAATGCTGGAAGCACATTTCAGCTGAGGTCAGTCTCACTCCGAACTCTGTGCTCTTCTCAAATAAAGGATTATTTTCCTATTATAACCTGATTTAGACAGCACACAGTAAGGAGGGGGAAATAATGAATTGCATTGAAGGAGAATGAATTGGAAAATTTCTCTTCAGGCAGCCATGTCTCTAAACAATTTATCCTTTGATTTATGAGCAATTACCCAGTCTAATCCATTCAAGGATGCAAAGAATGGGTCTTGTGGAAATTTTAAAAATACCCTAATAGTCTCAAAGAGTTTATAACATGCAATTAAAACATCCCATCTGAACTCAGAGTCCTATCCACCCTGCCACACAGGCCCTTATTTCCCCCATAGAAATCTTTCATCCATGGATCCTCCACGGCAGCAGACAGCGAAAGCTGGATGGACGCCTTTCTTCCCAAGGCACCAGTGTCCTCGTCAGTTAAGGGGGGTTCTGCGCAGGCATGATGACGCAGGATGGGACCTGGAGCAGATGATGTGGGCCCCCAGAGTCACCCTGCCACTCCCGACTGTCAGGCCAATCACTGCCTCTCTTGGGGTTCAGGCATGTCCCCTGCAAAATGAGCTCCCGACAGCTGCCCTCCACCCTCTGGGGGCTGTCATCCTGAAATGGTTGAGTAGTAAATGGGAACACAAGAGGAAAATAGTCGTATGTAGCTTGGTGTCTAAGAAGGCGGTGTTGGGTAGCAGCCGTAGTCAGTTAAATGGGCCAGGGCCCTGTGAATATTCACCCTTTCTCAGAACACGTTGTTTGGAAACCATATCTATGACTCCAGATAACTTAAATAGTCTATCAATAACACCAGCAATTGCTCAGCGCTGCCCCTAGCACGTGTCACACACACACACCGTCCAGTTCATTCTTACAACAACCCCTCTTTGACAACTGAAGAAAGTGAGGTTTGGAGAAGGGAAATGACACAGCTCACACAGACCCTAGACAGAGAGGCCAAGGCGGAACCCGGTCCCCAGGCCCCCCGAGCCCAGGTCCATGTCATCTACAAGCCACCTAACCAGAGCTCTCACTCAAAACCCAGAAAAGCTTCAGGCAGCCTTCACCCCAAAAGTTTCCTCTAAGTTCTTTCCCTTGGGAAAGTGATATGAACTATAATGATAACCTTGTCATGTGTTCAGGCCTTTCCATTTTGTACAGCATCTTTCCACCTATAATATCATGTGACCATCAGAGGAACTGAGGATACTGCCAGACAGAATGAGTGTGCCCATTTTACAGATGGGGAAATGGAGACCCTGAGTAACCTGGCCACCAGGGGAGGAAGCCTTGACTCAAACCCCGGTCATCCTGGCTCCCAGGCCAGGACTCTAAACCTCCCATGGGGCTGATACTGTGTCCCAAACCAGGAGTCCAGGAGCAGTGAGTCCAGCAGAACAGCTGTGGTCTGAGGTCCTACCCCATGATTGCCTATCTCTCCAACACATCACCATCTTTCTTTGCAGCTCTGGACAGCCCCTCTGGGCTGGTGACAGCCAACATCACCGACTCAGAAGCCTTGGCCATGTGGCAGCCGGCCATTGCCCCTGTGGACAGTTACGTCATCTCCTACACAGGGGAGAAAGGTGAAGTTCTGTCCAAGACCCTTCCCACCGTGAGGGTTGCCTGTTCTTCTGTAAACTCTCCACACTCTCCCTCCTCTGGCTACATTTGGTAAAGGATGACAGAAATGCATGGGGAGGCTGGGAGGCCAGCGGTGTCCCCGTGGCCCTCAACTTCCATCTCAGAACAAGGGCTGGGTGCGTGCGGTGTGGTGGGGCCTGACCGGCGGGTGGCAAGGAGGCCCTGTCCATAAGCCACTGCTTGTTGTCAGGAGAAAGAGTTTCCGTGCTGTAGTTTTGTCAAGGAAGTCCAGTCGCCCATTTGAAGAAAAAAGGGAACGTCCCCAGCCTGCTCCTCATCTCCCGCAGGGGTCTCCACCTGCTGGCAGGAGCCACCTTCTCTAAGCGGCAGCTCTTGTCTCTTACAAAGAGGGAGTTCAGGACCCTAATCTTTTTTTTTTTAATTTATTTTTTCAAATACATTTGTCTCTGCCTACTCCCCACCACTTTCCCTTGCCCCCTCCCTCCTTCCCTCCCTCAGCTCTTCCCCTTTGGTTTTGTCCATGAGTCCTTGCTATATGTTCCTTGACTTTCCCCTTCCCTTTCTTTTCCCCGCCCCCCCCCCTCCTTCCCTCTTGTCTCTGTGGATTTCTTTTCCTTTCAGTGTTGCTGGTCTTATTTTCCTTGCATCTTTGCATTGTTGGTTAGGTTCCGCTTATAGGTGAGATCATATGGTATTTGTCTTTCGCCCCCTGGCTTATTTCGCTTAGTATAATGTTCTCCAGTTCCATCCATGCTGTCGCAAAATTTAGTAGTTCTTTTTTGGACCTTAATCTTAAACAGGCTACTTCAGGTGACTCTGGGAGCCTGGGCTTCTCAGGGGCCACAGAGGAGGCCAGCGGTAGCAAGTTTGATAGAGAAGTCAGACATTATTGTTTCTTGTCTTTGCAAGCATCTTTGCTAAGGTGTTTGGTTGGCAAATTAAACACCTCTTTTATTAAATTCAAATGCAAATAAGAGAGGGGAGAAAGAGAGATTCCTTTCCAATGAATGAGCCCATACTTTTATAATGAGCTCCTCTAGGGGAAAAAAAGTGTTACTATATTAATCTCAAAGCATGTGCAAGTTTCATATTTGATGGTTCAGTGGTGTTTTACTTTCAGTGACAAGGAGAAGGCTCCATGATCTGTGTCCTGGGGCCTCTGAACATCTGAACTCAGACCTGGCACCCACCGGAGAGTTCTTTGTGAAGACAGGGCCCGGGGGAGGGAGTGGAGAGGGGGAGAGGTGTTTGTGTTTATTCTTTTTATTCTTCAATTCATAAATATTCTCTATACACAAACTCTTCCAAGTCTGAGAAGGTGGTGTTGTCTCACCTAAAATGTGTCAGAATATAGTTCACGGGAATCATGGAAATTCTGGGTGCCTAGGAAAGGGCTTGGTCTGGGGTTGGGAAGGGGGGGTTCACAGATGATGTGGTAGGGTGACCGATCCGTCCCAATTTGCCCAAGATTTTCTGGTTTTTTCACTCAAAGTGCCACACCCTGAGAAACTCCTCAGTCCCTGGCAGGCCAGGATGGTTGGTCACCAGCAATTAGGAAATGAACACATACACTTGGGCACTGGTGTTTGGTTCCCACAGTTGGACCTGGCCCAGTGGTGTCTGTCACCCTATCGTTGTGGTCCCCTAGCCTAACAACTCGACAACATCTGTCAAAGCATAAAAGGACATGTCAGTAAGTGGAAAGGAGAGGGACAACAAGCCCCAGGACAGATTACATGTGGGTGGCCCGAGGCTTGAGGACGCTACAGCACAGCTCCTCCAGCTGTGCCTGCACCGTCTGGAAAATTCTCCTAACCCCCGGTTCCCCTTTCTTCTGATTTGGTGCCTGGAAAAATTCAGTCTCCATATGATAATCCTTTGTATATGAGGTGAATGCTCAAGAGAAAGAAAGGGGCGTGAGTCATTTCAGGAGATCAAACCTGCTTGTCTTCAGGGTCACTGAAAGTGTCTGTGTTAGAAGGAGGTGTGTGCACTGTTGGCCGAGTCTGCTACTGGCTCAGACCAGCAGAGGTAACTGCCTCGGTGTGTGTATTTCACGTTTAGTGCCAGAAATTACACGAACCGTGTCCGGGAACACGGTGGAGTACGTGCTGACCAACCTCGAGCCGGCCACGGAGTACACGCTGAGGATCTTTGCAGAAAAAGGGCCCCAGAAAAGCTCGACCATCAGTACCAAGTTCACAACAGGTACAAAGCCACCAAGAGCCTCTACCTTAAACAGTCACCTCTCCAACTTCTCTCTTAAGTCACATCTGTGCAATGTGATAACGTCTGCCATTAGCTAAATTCACCAGTGCCCACCCAATCAGCACCTGAAGAAACACACCATTTCCTTTTGAACTGAAATGACCTGTTCTCCTGGTGGACTAGAAAACCATTTTAAAAGAAGAGCCTTTAAGTAGAAAACCAGTCCCCACTGGCCCTAAATCCAGTATTTAATGATTCATGTTCTAGGCAGGGAAATATTGTAAGAGAAAGATATTTCAGGCAAGTTTGCCTAGATGTCCATTGGTTTTTTTATACATTGAGATCTTTTAACACATTGTAGCAAGCAGGGAAATGGAGGAAACATCTTCTCAGTAGGGGTGAGCAGCAATATCAGTGCCCAGCTGTTCTCTTGTTTAGGAACAAGGGACATTGGTAATATGTCTTTCTCTCCCAGTCCAACCAAGGTCAATCAAGGCTGTGCAGGGCTCAGGAAAACATGATCCTTAGGATGAGATGAAGCCCAGAGGATGTGCGTCTTTGGAGAGTATATGGCTCAACCTCCTCATTTATAGATGGGGAAGGTTCCATCCAAGTTCATATGGGACAATGGTTTAGGACTTGGACCTATGCTTCCTGATACCCTGCCGGCGATTTTTGTCTTACACTTGCTGACTTATTTGCTATTGAATGTCTTATCTTCTCTAGACCTTGATTCTCCAAGAGACTTGACTGCTACTGAGGTTCAGTCGGAAACTGCCCTCCTCACCTGGCGACCCCCGCGGGCACCTGTCACCGGTTACCTATTGGTGTATGAATCTGTGGATGGTACAGTCAAGGTATCTTGAAGTGTATAAACAAGCCTCTACTGCTAGTTGAAACTGTCATGTTATCCTCAAAGTAGGGAATAATTATCTGGGTGTGTTTCTCTATCCCAGTGCAACTGAGAAACTGAAAAAAATATATATTAATAAGGACTGGACATTACTTCTGAATCATATCCTCCAGCCTCTCATTTTCATCAGACTCCGGTTGTAGTAGCCAGCCAAGGTCAAGAGCCACTGTGCATAAGACTGGAGAACAGTTTAGAAGCTGGGTTTTTTGGTCCTTTAATACGTTATTGAGCAAAGGCCAAAGGTTTCTTCTTCATCTTTGCCACATATAGTATATTACCTCCCAGGCGGCATCACTCCGTTACATGTCTGAAATGCCTATCACCATGGTCTTATGACAAGAATGGTTAGTGCTGTTTACAGAAGTGGTTCGTACTATTTATTTCTCTACCCAGGAACTTTTTTCTTTTCCTTTTTACTTTGAAATAACTTTAGACCTTCACACAAGTGAGATTTTCCCAACTTAACCTTCTAAAACTTATTATTGAGTTTTTAATTTCAGTCATCATACTTTATATTTCCAGGATCTCTTACTTATTCTCTGCACATTCTTCTGTTTCTAGCATATTGTTTGCATTTTGTACGCCACCTTCTCTTTATCTATGAGAATATGTTATTGTTATTTTATTCAACAACCTGCATAGTGTTTCTCCCAAGTTCTTTCATGTTTCACTGCTGTTGGTTTGGTTTAGGTCTCCATCTTTCATGTTGGAGACTTCCACCCAATGTCTGTTGGTTCTTTTGTACCGGAGCCAAGAATGAAACAGCTGATTGGGAATTCCAGTCACGCAGACAGGGCTTGTCAACTATGGGGCAAGTACCTAACAATTTCTTTAAACACTTTTTTTAAAAGATTTTATTTATTTATTTTAGACAGAGGGGAAGGGAGGGAGAAAGAAAGGGAGAGAAACATCAATGTGTGGTTGCCTCTTGTGCGCCCCCTACTGGGGACCTGACCTGACCCAACCCGCAACCCAGGCATGTGCCCTAACTGGGAATCGAACCGGAGACCCTTTGATTCGCAGGCCAGCACTCAATCCACTGAGGCACTTCAGCCAGGGCAAGTACCCAAAAATTTTTATGAGAGACTCCCAAGTATCAGTACTGTAAGCCCTTTCTCTTGAGCTACTCAGTCTCTCCAAAGGATCCTCCAACTCCTACAAACCAGGCTGCCGGCAGTCCAGCTGGAGAAAGAGGGCCCCCACTGTGCACAAATCTTCTGTCACTAGCGTGATACCTCAGCCTGCCCCGCAGCTAGCCCTGCTGGATTTGGATCCGGAGACTCTTCTCTGGCTCAGTCTTTCCGGAAACGAGACCTCAGCTTTCCGCCTGGACTGGGGAGGACCGTCGCGTGGTCTGTTAGAGCTGGGGGGTCTGTTTCTCACACAAAGCTTTTAAACAAAGTTTCGTTCAGCCATGACCCACACTGACCTTCAAAGGCGTCTCTGCTCTTGCATGCATTCCATTCCTGAACTCGCTGGGTGCTCGGGCATTCATCACCGAGCCTCTGACTGGCTCCGCCCACTTAGCCCCCAGTGTTCTCCGTTCAGTCCCTCAGCTATCCCTCCTCCGCACACTTTCCATTTACCAGGATTCCGTTGACACCACATGCCTGGGGCTGTCTCCTCTGCCATGTCCCTCACTTTGTGGGTTTACACTTTATATCCTTTCATTCTCATTTTAGTGGGCATCAGGGGCCAGTAGAGAGAAACTGGCATGACCAGCCTGCCATGTTTAACCGGAAGGGGGCACACATTTCTAGTTACCATCATGGCCCTGCTTGGAGTTGGTGTAACAACCAACTCACTCCCCATGTGAACAGAGGCAGGTCCCTTACTGTCTCTGGGTGGCAGTGTTCACATACCTATAAAATGATTGCGTTGGACCCACCAGTCTCTAAGGTCCCTTCCTGGTCAGGCAGTCTACGATTTGGTATTCACCTAAAGTCATGGGTCTCATTTCAATCTATCCTAATTGCCTAGAAAATGACTTTGCACAGCAGCTGAGAGAGCTTATAGGTAATTGTATCCCCAAGTAATTCAATGAACCCAGCTTTGTACCGGATCCTTCCCCAAGGACCAGACCTGGGAGCCACACCAAGGTCACTGGGTCACTGGTATCAAATGAGCACTCACCACTCACCTGGTTTACTTCCCTTCATGTCCAATTCCCAGCTTTATGTGGGTCACACCAGAAAATCAGCCTGGTACAGGACAGAAGAATCGTGGACAGGATATTGGGGGACCATTCTCTGCCACCAATAAATTATAGAGTGAGAGCAAACTTCTTAGCTTCTCCGAGGCTCCACCCCTATTGGAAGAATCAGGATAACTTCACCTGCTGAGTGTGAGGATGGAAGAGAACCTTCCAAGGGCCTCCAACTGACTCATGACCACCCAACCCCAGCCGGCTGTGTCCGCAGACTGTAGAGAGCACTACTGTGCTTAGTTAGCTAGGAATGCAGGTTGAATTCCAATCCCACACACAAAGGTCATTTGCTAAAAGATGACTTCACAGGCATGGGAAGCTAAAAAGGAGATTTGAAAAGAAAGAGAGTTTCCTGCAAATTGAAACTGATCACCTCCTCTGGACAGCAGCACAGTGACCAGTCACAAACTGCAAGCGTACTTAGCTTGCAGGTGTGTGCCACAGCCACACACGCCTTCCTCTCCCGGATGCCTTTGTTCTAGAGGAGAGGCGTGCTGGGTCAGCTCAAGTCTTCACATGCCCTGCCTACTGAGCGCTGTAATCACCTCCTGACTGAAGAGAGCCCCAGACTGACGGGGCTTCAGAATCCTCTGGGGAGTTTCTTAAATATGCACCTGGCCAGGCCCCACTTTCGGCCCTTATGATCCAGTCAGCCTGGGATGGAGCTCCGGTGTTGCATTATAGTAAAGCTTTCCAGAGGGCTGTGAAAAAGAGCCATATTTCGGGACCACTGATATAACTGTCTCAAAGTCTAAACCGTTTGTCATTTGTGTAATTCACCTTGCTCCCAGATTAATTGGGTCCATGTCATAAACATTTTAGGAATCTCTATTTCTTATAATAATAAACTTTAAATTCCATAGAGTGGCATTTAAGGCCCTTTGTCATCTGGTCTTTTCCCACCTTTCCTGTCACTCCCCCACCAAACACCAAGGGTGGCTGAGGTAGGCCGTTGCCTTTTCACATTATTTTAATTAGCACTGCCTCTTCCGGCCCCAGGACCTTTGCTCATGCTGCATTCTCCCTGTCTCCGACATCTGAGAAGCAAGCATGGAGCTGGCACAGATTGGGACTCAGTGGATTCTTGTTGAAAAAAGAAATAATTGGAAAAAAAAGCAATAGATGGATGGGTGAATAAACTAATGCATCGTCTGTATCTTAAGGATTTACGTGGCCAGAAGTTATATCCTTTCTTCTGCCCTTAGGAAGTTATTGTGGGTCCAGAGACCACCTCCTACAGCCTGGCGGAGCTGAGCCCATCCACTCACTACACAGCAAAGATCCAGGCACTGAACGGGCCCCTGAGGAGCAAGCTGGTCCAGACCATCTTCACCACAAGTAAGGAGCTCAGGGATCAAACGTTGTTAGCAGAACCAACCCTCCTCTCCTCCTCTGACTGCTCCATTAAACTTTTCTATCAACTCTCTAAAAAGGATCAGTTCCCTGCCACTACCTGGAAGCTCAAGGAATGTGGGTGCACGGGATAACAGGGCTGGTGGTGAGAGGGACGGAGAGTCAGTAGTGAGAACATCTGGATTCCTCATCTCCACCACTTGCTCTGTGTGACTCAGGAAAGTCACTGCCATTCTACAAGCCTCAGTTATTCCATCTATACAATGGGATTAATAACCATCCCTTCTTTACAAGAACTGTGTGAGGATCCTTGTATTGTATTTGACTTCTAGCCCACTGTGTGGTCCATTCTCAGGGCTCATTATAAGCTTAGGGTCCCTCTCTTTCTTTCTCAGCATGTCAGCATTTACAAACCCTGTCCAGAGTCAAAATCACACACCATCCTCCCACCAAACTGGTGCAGTGGGCCAGGAATGCCATGCCCAGTTTTGGGCGGGGAAACAGAGGCTCCCAGAGACTCAATGACCTGCTCAAGACTACACCATGGGTTAGAGTCAGACTTGGGCTCAAGTGTTCCGGGATCAGGAAACCACCTCTGCATCCTGCCACTGGGCACCTTCTGTGGATGGCAGATGTGCAAAGTGTTCCACTGGCAAATAAGAGGAAGCAGCCATTCCTGGGAAGGGAGGAGTTGTCCTTTGGGGGGCCTTGAACCTGCCCTTCACACTTCACTCTGGTCGCTCCACACACACCTGCTGATGGAAGTGCACAGGCAAAGGTACCTCTTTGCCAGAACTTAAACCAGGTGCTGGGACCACAATATGAGTGTACCCTAAAGATGACCTAAGACAAGGGCAGTGAAATAGGCAAGAACACAGCTGATGCTGCAACCTCAGGTAAAGGTAAAGTACAGTGGTACAGTGAGGAGTCACGTCAGAAAAAAGAACTGCTCTGGCCATCAATTCTCTGTGCCACCTGCTAAGCACAGACCCAAGACTGTATCTATCATGGTTTTAATTTTTTGCATCACATTGTTGTACCTGGAAATTCCCTAGGCATTCTTGTTTCCCCCATCTAAGATTTCCAGGCTCAGGGCAGCTAAGTGACTTCTCTGGCACCCCAAGACAAGGAAGTAGCAAGTTAAGGACTGGAACCCTTGTCTTCGGTTTCTGAGTTGTTTGATGGCGCTGCGTGCTTCCAGCCTAATAGCGTGTCCCGATGCACCGTGAGCCACCCGCAGGGTGCTAGGAACCCCGCTGTACTGGCCAGTACCCAAGTGCTCATCTGGTGCTACCTGACTGCTCCAGGCAGACCAAGGCCAACCGCACACATGCCCGTCACGGTGGCTTAGCCCTCCTCCCCCTGACATCGCTGATGACTTCCGTCAGCATGAGGGGCTGAGATGGATGTCATCCATAAACTCTATGCCTCACTGCACCCTCACAAGATAGGTCTTGTCCCCCTCTTGCGCATGAGGGAGCACCGTCTCAGAGCGGGTACGTCATCCAGCCAATAAAGAGCAGGGCTGAAGTGCGCCAGCTCCTGCCCCCGTCCCCCTGCTCTGACAGTCCCGCTTTCCTCTCATCCCGCAGCTGGACTCCTGTACCCACTCCCCAGGGACTGCTCCCAAGCAATGCTGAACGGAGACACGACCTCCGGCCTCTACACCATTTATCTAGACGGCGATAAGGCCCAGCCTCTGGAAGTCTTCTGTGACATGACCTCTGACGGGGGCGGATGGATCGTGAGTATCCCTGAAACCTCAGGCATGAGGGATTGGGGCAGAGGGCACATGGGGGCAGGAGGGGTGGGCGTCCTCTCCCTGCACTCTGACCCCGAGGTGCATGAGGTTTGTCAGATAGTGCCTGTCACACAGAGACATTCAGGGATTATCTCTTAAACCAAGGAATGGGAAAGAAGCTGGGGAGTAAAGAACAGAAGAAAATCATTTTCTTGCATTTTTACCTCACCTGATCCTCAGCTCTGTGATACATAAAAATGACAGTGGTCATAAACTCACTATGTGTGTTAATTAGCACATGCTATCTACTAGGCACTGTGCCACGAGTTTTATATGAATTATTTCAGTCTCTACCATGCGATCTGGGCAGTATTTATAATTAATAAACTTTATTTTTTATTGTTGTTCAATTACAGCCGTCCCAATTTTCCCCCCATTGCTCTCCCCTGCCACACCCACCCTCTGCTCCCTCTGTCAATCCCCACCCTGTTGTCCAAAGACTTAAATAAACTTTATTTTTTAGAGCAGTTTTACGTTTGCAACAAAAGTGAGCATGTGGTACAGTGAGCGCCCAATACCCTGGTCTCGCACGCACAGCCGCTCCCACTATCACCATCCTGCCCCAGGATGATGCATCTGGAACAAGGGATGGCCCTACATTGACACACCATTAGCACTTAGAACTGAGTGGTATTTTTAGTCCCTCTCCTTCAAGGGAGGACACCATGGCTCAGAGAGGGGAGGTGACCTGTCCAGAGTTACCTGGCAAATTAGTGACGGACAGAGCTGGGGACTGGTGCTTTTCCCGCAGTCCAATGTCCCCCCTCTCAAGAAGATGCCCTCCCCCTCCTTCAATAGCTCACGTGCACCCAGGTTCACTGGTTATGTTTATAGGTGTTCCTGAGACGCAAAAATGGGCATGAGGATTTCTATCGAAACTGGAAGGCCTATGCTGCTGGGTTTGGAGACCGCAGAGAAGAATTCTGGCTCGGTAATGCAGCCATGCCCGTCTGTGTCCCAAATGTCCACGTCTGCCCTCCTTGTCATGTCCCACAGCCACCTATGGGAGAAAAATGGAAGAGGAGGGAACAGTTCTCTTAGTAGACTCAGAATCTCAACTTCTCAGTGGAAAATACTTTAAATTCTCTGGGTCATTAAAAATAAAAATCTGGTCAACGGAGAGCCAACAGCCGGGCCTTAAGAATGAGCCCAGCCTTCGGTCATGCCCTGAACCACGTATAGGATCGTCTTCTCTGACACCATTAACTGCTTCTGTTCTGGGCTCCCAGGGCTGAGATGGGCTCTTTATAACCATCACCTCTAAGCACCCCTGCAAGGTACAAAATTCCCATCTTGCCCAGGAATCTAGCCAACACTGTAAGCATTTGAGCTGCACTTTGAAATCTCCCAGACCAACACTACAAAGGCACTGTCTATTTATCCCCACAACTGACACTGTCCCACAACCTCCCTGCAGAGGGCACTGTCCTGTGCACCAGCGCCCGGGTGGGGAAGGTGGATCCTACTATTATTACCCATTGCCTTACACTTGCAAGGAGCTTTTGAGTTTATAAGGAGCTTTTTTCCACCTTATCTCCTTTGATCTTCACAATACCCTGGTGGTTGGCAGGGCAAAGCTGTCAGCTTGGTATTACCTGAGGCTCAGAAACATCACCTGTTTGGCCTGGTGTTGCACCTGAAAGGAGCAAACCAAGCTGCAAGCCCAGGTCTGTGTGTGACACGACCGTCCTTAGTGTACACAGCCCCGCTCTGACATGGTGGAGTAGAAGTAATGGCCTCGGTCACTTGGGCTTCCGCATCAAGCCCTGCCTGTCATCCACAGGGCTGGACAACCTGAACAAAATCACGTCCCAAGGGCAGTACGAGCTCCGCGTGGACCTGCGGGACCACGGGAAGACAGCCTACGCCGTCTACGACAAGTTCAGTGTGGGGGACGCCAAGACTCGCTACAAGCTGAAGGTCGAGGGATACAGCGGCACAGCAGGTAAAAAACTGCAGGACCGGGTTGTGTTTTTAGCTGATTCCTCCACTCTTCATCCCCTCCTTCATGAATCCATCCATAAATTGGATCAACAGATATGGGAATCCCTACTGGGTGCTAATCTGGAATAACTGCTATGGTGTGTATCCAACCTCTCTTAGCCCTCCAAAAAGACACCTATAATGGGGGTGGGGGGTGGGGAGTCTGCTGGTAAAGGTTGCCAAAAGCCAAGCACAGTGAAAGGAGAGGAGCTCTTTAGAAAAGAGGAAGACCTAGGGGCAATGCATCCCTCAAAGAATTCTGACATTTTTATTACCTGGCAATAAATACCTCTCTGGTAGAGTTAGCTTCCGGCAAAAGGGGCCTAGTAACAGGGCAAACAAAGACACTGACTGAGCAGCAGGAATGAATGCTCCCCATCCCTGCCGCCCCTGCCCCCCAGAGGAGCTGGGATGTGTCCCTGCATAAAGACAACCTTTACAGGGAGCATCTCGCTCATCAACGCCTACCTGCCACGCTCAAGCTCTTGGCAGCTTAAAAGCGTGTCTGAGCCCTCTGACAACTTGCTCCAAAGAATCAAGCTTGTATGCCGTGGCTTCTGATATTCTTATGCACAGCATTGACAGGGTGGAGAGCGAGGGTACACAGAAAGGGCACTTAAATCTTCCTAAAATTTAATGTATTAAATTACAAAGTAGATTCCCAAAAAGCACTATCTTTAAATGGGCTTTTTTGTCTAAGAATCAGGGAATGCTGGTCCCATAAACACTTTGAAAAATAACTATATGATACATATCATATTTTAGTTATTTTAGGCTATTTGCTGACATCTAATATCTGAAGGGTTTGGTTCTAGGTATGGCTCTAAATATTTGTATTTGGGGGAAAGCATTCATAAATGCAGATTTCTCATGTTACTCAGTGGGCTCCTTTATGGAAAGGGAATGCAAAAAAATCATAAAAATAACAACAATCTTAACTATTTGCTCAACACTCTACCTTTCTAGCATACACCTTCATATATGGTCCCAACAGCACTCTTAGGTGGATAGAATCAATATGCTGGTTTCATTTTATAGATGGGAAAACTGAGGTTCAGCAAGAGGCTTGACTTGTGCAAGGTCATGGCTATGGAATGGAGGAGAAGGGACTTGAAGCTGGACCCTCCAAAGCCACCCACAGCCCTCTTTCTACCACATTACGCTGCATCCATCAAATGGGTATCCTTGGGTGATACTCATATCCCATCCAGTCTTATATGTGATCCTAAATCTGGGTCCGATGTTCAAGGCAGGCCTGCCCCAGGGCCTTTCCATTGTCACTGCTGGTTCTGCCCTTCACAGACCGCAGGAAACTCCAACTGGGACCTCTCAAGTACATACTTTCTCTCTCCCAGGTGACTCGATGGCCTATCACAATGGCCGATCCTTCTCCACCTTCGACAAGGACACGGACTCAGCCATCACCAACTGTGCTCTGTCCTATAAGGGCGCCTTCTGGTATAAGAACTGTCACCGTGTGAACCTGATGGGCAGATACGGAGACAATAACCACAGTCAGGTGAGTGGGTTGTGAAGGCCCAGGGCCAGGCTGGGGAAGCTGGCTGGGGGTGAGACTAGGAGGCAGGAACCTCAGGTAGATGGCGTGTCTTCCCCAGCAAGACACGCAAGGAGAAACCTCAGTGGCACTGCAGGTCAGGTACAATCATAGACATAGCACGTGTCAACTCTCAAAGATCCTGATGGGAACCCCTGGTCGAGTGGACTCCAAAACAGACAGCTTTTCTCAGACAAAGTCTTTGAACCCCCCAAAGGACAGCAGATTCAGTGGAGGCCATCCAGGTGGAGCGGGGCAAGAGCAGGTGTTTTCTCCATCTCATTACGTTGCCGGTTAAACTTCCACTCTGTGCATTATGGTATCGCCTTCACTGCTTTCCCCCTAACATCGGTGTAGTACAGTCTTCCTGGAAAATCAAAAGCCACATGCCCAAAGGAAACCACTTTTTCACCCCCCCCAATCAATTTTGGAAGAAGAAGGAGATCACGTAAAAGGCCACCGAGGAGGGACGGGAGCCCGGTCCCAACTCCAAATCTGCCTCAGCAGCTCTGACAGGCCCTTCACAAATTCACTTCCTTTCACGGCATCCTTTCAAGGCTGACATTACCAGGCCTTAAGAAAAATAATAAAACTGAGGCCCAGAAATATTTGATAACTTGGTCGAGACTTTATGTCTCAAGCAAGAGCACTAAGATTTAACCCTATATGCCAGTTTCCAAAATGGACATTGCGCCTATGGTCTTTCTGCCATTCCATACCAACCCCTACTAAAGTACTTTGTAGGAAGCTTGTGAACTATAGTCTCCCCTGCATGGAGTTACTCAATCCTGTAATCTCCACTCAGGATCTCAATTCCTTTAGCACCTTTTCTAATGATAGTAAGTTTCATCAGCCATCACTTTGTTTAAAGATGGCAGATCAAACCTCAGGTGGCTTGTAACGAAAGTCGAACAACTGAGTCAGATCCTGCCAGCCCCTTTGAAAGTTTTCACTGCACAGATTAAACAGACAGAGAGGCAAGAGACAGCTGTGAACTACCAAATAGCGACGATGAAACAGAACTCGTTACGTCAACCAAATAGCAACCCTTGCCTAATGAAAACCAACCTGGAGGCCTTCTCTTTTTTGCAGGGTGTTAACTGGTTCCACTGGAAGGGCCACGAACATTCAATCCAGTTTGCTGAGATGAAGATGAGACCCAGCAACTTCCGAAATCTCGAAGGCAGGCGCAAACGGGCGTAAAATTCAGGGACAACTGGGTGAGAGAAGTGTAGGGCCCAGAGGAAGACAAGAATTTTACCAAAGTATCAATACAACCCATCCAACCGTCATCAAACCACACCTGGGCACTTGGCAGGAGCTAACGTTGACCATGGAGCATCGGGGCCAATGGCGGGAGCTCTGGCCTCCGCACTCCGCGATTCCTTCCTTCGCACCAAAGACAACAGTCTCCAACAGGTTTCTGTTTTGTTGTTCAAAATCAGCAAAACTCTTCTAGGGACAACAGCACAATGGTTTCCCTTCTCTCGGGTGGCTCTGGGAATGGAAGAGGGGTGGGCTGTACAGTGGTAGTTTGTTTTAGGACCAGCTGTATTTTACACAAAGCTGTATAATTAATTATCACTATTTTTGTTAGCAGTGATTCAATGTGTGTCATTGGGAGCCATGCCAGTTTTTTACATTTCATACTACAGACCCCAGAAAAGCAATGCCGTTTCCATTTTAAGGATATAATTAATGTTATTAATATAATAATGATGATGATGATGAAAAACTAAGGATTTTTAAAGAGATCTTCCTTTCCAAAACACACGTGGACAGTACCTGATTGTATTTTTTGTAATAAAAGCACAAGTACTTTTAAATTGAGCTGTTGTTTTGCCTTTTGTTGTTGAGCTTGAATTCCACGAAGCCATTGCGTCTGAACAAACGGAGGATACTGGAAAGCAAAGGTGAGGCGAGGGGTTGGGGCGGCGGCGGGGTGGGGGCGCAGGGTGGTCAAGTGGGAGGCAAAGGGTCGGAAAGGAGAGAAACACATTTTTGGACAAAGTTGAACATGATCAGAAAAAGCTCACAACTTAAAATTCGGCTTCTCGTTCAGTATTTCCAAGACAAATTGTTTATGGTTTAAAAGATGTTTTTACACCCATTCTCTAATGTAATATAACAATTTTATGACATAGATGAGGTGAGAATTGATATCATCCAAGAGTTAAAATTCCCAGAAGCAGAACTGCCTGAGTTCAAATCTTGGCTCCACCCTCATTCCCTAACCTCTCTGTGCCTCAGTTTCCTCATCAGTGAAGTGGGGATGCTCACACTTCTTAATTTCAAAGCATTTCTGCAAAAAATAAATGATATTATCCATAGGAAGCCCCTAGCATAGTGCCTGACATATATTAAGTGCTAATAAGCATTAGTTATCATACTATTGCTTTTTAAAATTTATTGATTGATTTTAGAAAAGAAATGGGAAGGGAAAGAGAGAAGAGAAATGTCAATTTTTTTGTTCCACATATTTATTTATTCATTGGTTGATTCTTACATGTGCTCTGACCAGGGATCGAACGCACAACATTGGCACATCAGAACGATACTCTAACCAACTGAGCTGTCCGACCAGGGCATATTATTACTTTGTATATGATGGATTGGGGTTCCTAGAAGTGCAATGACTTGTCTGTGGCTACAAATCCAATTAATTACAGGACTGGGATTTAAACTCTGGCCCCTTGGCCCCAATGTCCCTGCTCTCCCTGAAGCCCCTGATAAAAATCTCTCCTTCCCTAGGAAAAGGGCGGCCACGGTGACAACATACAGGTTGCAGAATGGGGAAGGTCACCTGGATCCTTCACCAAGATCCTACAATCCCCAAGTCTTAGAACTGAAAAGAATGCCTGTTAGAAATATCTCCTTCTCCTCTACTCAAAGCCTCCTGAAAAGGAAGGCCCAGTGTCCCCCAGCCTCATCCTGACTACATCTAGTGATGGGGGGGTCTAGTAATGGGCGGAGCTCAGTACCCCCAAACAGCAGATCTGTTGGTGCTCAGTGAATAGAGTCCAAACCACACATTATGTATCTCTCTTCTAAAACAAAGGTGTTGGGGGGATGGGGAAAGCAATTGCCAGTTCATTCCCTTAGGAACTTTCAGCAAATTGACTTAGTTAATGAAACTGTTTGGGCCAATAAGCCTCATTCAAATGGAATGCGATGGCTCAGAAGTGAGGATCAGAGGAATTTATGGCTCTGGCCAGACTCCTTGCTGCTGAGTTTATCATGCTTTAATAAGCACTGTCATGTTAGATACACAATTTGCTGTTCCAGATCATAAGACTTGTTGCCTGCAATTCAGCCATAGCAACACTCGCCTTGCTCCATAAACCCAAACAAACTGGTGCCCTGCAACCCCCTGGCCTTAATGGGAGCTTACCCTCTCCTGCCTGCTGCCTTGGAGGTCTCTGAACTCCAGTCCCCTCCCCTCCTGGGAAAGACAGATACAGCTCAGCTGATAAGGTGTTCCCCAGAAGCCGCACAAGAATCACATTCTGATTGGTGAAGAAGTCACATGGAACAGGAATCTTTCATCATGGCCCTGGGAAAGTTGTAGATGCGCCCAGAAGAGCCCAAGGCCATGACTCCCCATGCTTCACAGCTGGTTTCAAAGCCTACACACACCAGGCTCTGGTTGAAAAGCTCTGGTGGAAAGTTCGAGGTCACCATGTCTCAAACGCAGTCCAGTCCAGTCGCTGACTCTGGTATCACTCAAGCAACCTCCTCCATCCTGAAAGGTCTCCTGAAATTCTACTCCACCCTCACAGTCCCAGGCCTCATCCACCCCGACCCTCCCTGAAGCCCTCGTAGCTCTCCACTGAGAATTACTTCCCAGGGTGTTTGGCCTTTCCTTTGCCCCTCCCCATCTACTAGCCTCCTCCTCCTGCATTGTATCCTCCAACAGCCCCACGTTTGAATTACATCAGTGCACTTCCCTCCCCGGGGGTGGGGGGGTCAGGGTATTCATTTTCCAGCTATATCTCTCCAGCATCCTGGTGGGCTGACACGTGCCCTCGTAACAGAGATGTAGGGCCAGTTAACCGAGCGTCTCCACGCAAGGCTCCCATCAGGTTTCAGAGAACTGCGCTTGCACGTGCCCCTCAGGCCCAGGACCGTCTCTGCACCTCAGCTGCTGCTGGACCCGGGGACCCGTGCTAGCCCGCGGGGCCCTCCCCCACCCTGCCCACACCACCCCCGACTCAAACTCTTCTCAGGGCACGCCCACTCCCATGGGTACTTCACCCACAGCACCACTCACAAGGCTGCCGCCTGCCTTGCCTCGCTATGTCCATTCACGCCTCTCTTTCCACTGCAGACATCAGCCATCAAGTGCCTTCCCAGAATCCAAACTCCTTTCTAATTCTGGAGCATTTCCCATTGGGCGAAGACCATGCTTCCCACCATGGAAGCCAAACAGAAGAATACACTTTCCTCTTTCCCAGGACAGCCGGTGTAGGCGCACAATGGAGGCTTGGATAACTGCAGAGGGACTTCTATTTAGCCTTGAGCGGGGAATGTAAACCAAGGAGCCTATGAGGATGGCTTGCCCTCTACCACCATCACAGTATCTACCATGCAGCTCTGTCCTCTGGGGCTATGACCTCTCCCACCTTCTCCCCTTCTCAGCTTGCCCTCTCCCAAAGCCACCCTCCTTCCCACCATGCCTTGCCCACCCCAGAGTATCCACAGCTCCTTGTGGGCTGTGCTGATTGATCTCTCCTTCCAAGTTTCCTAATTTCCTTTCCATTTAAAGTTAGTAATGAGCACCCCATATGCCCAGCACTAAATGAACAAAATAACCACATCCCCCGCCTTGTGCAGCCTCCATACCGGGGACAAGATGGCAACAGGCAGGAGAGGTAGAGGGCAGAGTCTCTCTCTCTTCAAGCCTTGAGGCCACCAGGCTGCACAGAAAGAAAGCCAAACATCCAGAAGGAACAGGGCCACCCACTCCTGGAGGTTCCCTTAGTCCAGAATAACGATTTCAGTCTTTTTCATAAGTGCAAAAGGAAGCTACTAAGGAATTTTAAGCAGGGAAGGGTTATGATCATGTTTTGGTTTTTTAAACCATCTTTTTGTGAGAGTTTGGGTTTGGGCTAAGAGGTACAAGAGGGGAGAGGCCTACCAGGAGGCCACTGCAGGGGTCCTGGGGAAAAGGTCTGTGTACCCATGGGGTCCTGGAGGTGGAGAGTGGGATTCCGAGAGAGGCTTAGAAGGTGAAAACCATAGGTCTTGGGGGATCCAGGGAGCTTCTCCACATCCACACCCCTGTTCCTGTGCTGCCCTCCATTCCTACACAGCATCTGTCCTAGACATGCATGTCATTTCAGTAAGGCCAGATCAATTAGGGATCCGGGGAGCTAGAGTAAAGGCCCTGTTAACTCCAGGGGCAGGAGGGCCGCAGTGGCCTGGAGCACCAGGGCATCGCTCCTCGGATATTTGGGTGAGGTGGGAGGGGAACTCAGGGGAGCTTCCCTCGAGGCTACGGCGCTTCGAATGAGGACGAGGCTGTGGCTGGATGCAAAGGCTGAACATGGTGCAGGACCTTGCTGGAAGGCTTTGTGTCCTCGGAGCACAGCTGAGAATTTCTGGAGACATTTATGGAGTGACATAATTGGCATTGCTCTTTAGAAAGCTCATTCTTGCACTAGAAGGGCAACCTCCCCCCATGCGTCCCCTGGCCTCAGTAGGTGCTGGGATCCTCCAAGCGCACGGTCAGGGTGTGAACGCATGTGATATATCAGTGGCCAGCAGAGGGCTCACTCTCCTCATCCTTTTCCCTCCCCAGTGGAAGCTCAGAAAGGAAGAGGGAAAAGGATATGTCCTTGATAATCGCTCCAATCCCAAGACTAGAAAATAGATTTCAGAATATTATAGGAAACACACACACACACACACACACACACACACACACACACACGGTGAAAATAAGTAGCTGCCATATTGTCCCAATATATTTGTAGTTATAGGTTAAGAAATGTATAAAGGACTCATAGACAAAGTCAAAGGGGAGTAGGGTTGAGGGTGGGAGGTGGGGGTGGGTGGGGGTGGGGAAAGTGGTGGCAGGAAAATGGAGACAACTGTACTTGAACAACGATAAAAAATGTTAACATTAAAAAAAAAAAAAAGAAATGTGTTTCAGAGCAGTAAAATGACTTCCAAGTATACTTGGCCAAGTGTACAAGTGCCAGAGCAAGTACTAAAAGCTAGGTCTTCTGAGCCCACCGGCCTCAGAGCCCAGAGGAGCGCCACCTGCAGACGTATTCCTCGGTCCGTTCTCCCCCTCGGCATACACAGAGCACCCGCCGTGTGCCTGCTCCCCCAAAACACTTTACAGTTTGCAAAGCAGGTGTGATCCTAACAACTTCTCACCGTAATCCTCTTTGTAGGCAGCGCTGAGCTTGGATCCCAACTTTCCCAATTATCCAATGATCTTGGTCTACTCGCCTAATTTTTCTGAGTATCCCTAAAAATGAGAGTGAGGAGGGCCTACAGTGAAGAGAATTTGTGATGATTTAAAAGAGAAAATGGACAGGGCCTGGCCGGGAGAAAAATGCTAACACAGGTTTGTCTCTGAAGTTAGACCTTTCTTTGCTCAAAGCTGAGCGTCTGGGTACAATTCTCAAGTCTTCCACCAGATGGCGGTGGCCCCTGGCTTTAGGAAGGCTCTAAA